CAACGTTGGAGGCCAGCTCAGTGGTGTAGTAGTTAAGTGCTCGCATGCGAAACCAGTAGGTCCCGGGTTCGAATCTCGCAGGGGGCGAGGTCATGGATGCGGACTGCTGAGGAGTCCCACGATAGGACGGAACTGCCATCCAGTGTTCCCACATTTTCCATGATGGTCTAGCTTCAACTGACTCATGATCTTAACCATTGAAACTATTATAATATCCACAAAACCCATCTGATATTAAATAAATATTACTTAAGTAGTAATGAAGGAATAAATGGTAAAAAATTGATTTGTATGATCCATTAATTATTTCTTAACCAAATATCATGGAATTCAATAAAACAATATCAATTTCTTGATTTAATTAAGATTTAATATAAGATACCTGAAAAAGAATTCTAAAAGAAATCAGGAAAATAAAAAAAATTTATTGTCATAATAAAGATATATATATATATTATTGTTAAATAAGATAAAATGGAATAAATAAGTTCTTCTATTGGACAAGCAACAATAAATGCAGGAGAAGACGACCAGTGTAGTAACAGCCTCAACAGCAGTAGGTTTCAATATACACAAAGGGAAAAGCAAGATTTCCCGATACAACAAAGCATACATCAATCAAATCAAACTTGATGGACAAGATTTGGAAGACGTATAAACCGTTACATATCTAGGCAGCATCATTGATGAACACGGTAGATCTGATGCAGATGTGAATGCGTGGATCGGTAAAGCAAGAGCAACATATCGACAATTGAAGAACATCTGGAACTCAAAACAACTGTCTGTCAACCAACACCAAGATCAGGATTTTCAATACAAATGTCAAAACAGTACTGCTACGAAAGCCATCATCCACAAGATACAAGTGTTTATTAACAATTAGCTATGCAAAATACTTTGGATCCGTTGAATAGACACTATCAGCAACAACCCACTATAGGAGAGAACAAACAAGATTCCAGTGGAAGAAGAAATCAGGGAGAAACGCTGTAAGTGGATAGGACACACATTGAGGAAAGCACCCAACTGCGTCACAAGACAAGCCCTCACTTGGAATTCTCAAGGACAAAGGAGAAGTAAAAGACCAAAGAATACATTACGTCGAGAAATGGAGACAGACATGAGAAGAATGAACAACAATTATATAGAACTAGAAAGGAAGGTACAGGACAGCGTGTGTTGGAAAATGCTGATCGGTAGCCTATGCTCGATTGGGGAGATGAACCAAAAGAATGATCATTATGTTCGCAGCATGTTTTTAAGTAAACTGTTAGTTAATCAGCATAAAAGTTTGAATTTCATTGAAATTGTTGATGGTGGCTAGCAATGGAATCCAAGAAGTGAGTTCCATCCCATGTAGGACTTGTCATGTGGATGTAACCGCATCACGGACTTGGTGTTCATTTCAGGACTCGAACCCACTACTGTTCACTTCGAAAACCATCATATTATCCACTTAGCTACTTAGTCCAAATGGCCCGTTGGCTTTTACATTGGGGTGAATTTTAATTTATTACTGACCCAAAGAGGACGGAATGTGCGTCCTGGAATTCACTGCTAGCCACCATCCATCTCCGCTTGTGAATTAAAGCAATATTGAGGAAACCCGCACAGGATACCAAAAAAAAGACATCAATTTCAGTCCTAACCATTAATGAGAAGATTCAAATAAGCAATACAAAAAAATAAATTATAAATTTTGTCATTGTATTTCAACCAAATAACTGTTGTGACTTTAAACCCAGCTTATTATCATGTGATTTATTCATCAATCGAAATGTGACTTATTCAATCTTAGTACTATGCCAAATCAATGACGTTCGACCGGCATGAACAGCCTAGTTTCCTTATTCGTCCTTTGTTCACCTAGCTCGTCCAGTTGAGTCCAGAATACTAATAACAGATCCCGCTAGGCGAATCATTTATTTCAAAAATACTTGGTTTATATACCAACCAAACAGACCTCATCACACCATAAATTAGGAAATAACATTTATACATGATCAAGCCAAAATGTAGCTGTGAATGTGGGAGACTGTAATCAATAAACTTGATATAACTTAAGAATAGTAAATCGTATAATAACGATTGGTTGATCGATTGACTGATGAGTTGTTGTTATTGTTGGGGCTTTTTCATTAAATCACATTAATATTACTTATTGATGAGTAAATATACACTGAGAAAACAGTAGTTAGTTGATAATTTGATAATTGAGTTGAATATATATAAGTTATATGTATATATGTATAATATGGCCTTTTTCATAAGTTTAAATGATGTTAGTGACTCTGCTTCGTTAACCAATCACTCTCGTAACCTTTATTATATAAACCTCAATGGTGTTTAAAATCAGAATGCAAAGAGAAGCAGCAATTACAGTTTATTAACGGATAGAACAGATCACAAAGTTATAAGCACATCAAGCAAATTTGAATAGGAGAGTATACGCAAGCAATTACATAGGGAAATTTATAGTCAAACTGAATGAAAGCACAGCAAGGCAAAAAAAGGACTAATAATAGTATTTGAGCACAAAAGTACATGGGGAGGAGGATGAACCACTGAATGATATTTAATCAATCAATACTTTGGCTAGAGTCTATCATATGAACATAACGGTACAAATAAATATGGGAATTGTTACTATTCCAATAACATTGTTTGTTAAGTAAGTCAATCAAAAGGGCTTAACCAAAATTAAGCATAATCGAAATTGGTTATAGGATAAAGTATTTCATAATAAATTCTTATACATGTAAAATTATAAATAACAACAATTTAATGGGACTAATAATTCAAAAACATTACTGAATTACTCCCGTTACCTTTCGTGGAAGAGTATAGGCCACCTACTCTCTATCCAACCCTATCCTGGGCAATCTTTTCCAGTTGCTATTCGTCACTTTTCACGGCTACTTCCAATTCCTGACATAATGTGTTCTACATCGGAGTCTAGGTCAATTCAAAAATTCCATTTATAAATATTTAATTTGTAATACATACATTAGAACTACACAGAGAATGGTACATATTCGTATTCCTGATGACGTTCTATATATAAATTGAAACTTAGAGATGTATTAACTTTAAATTGTGTAATAACTCTGTTTTCCAAATTACGACCATCGGAAAAAATAACACTTTTCTTTAGTTTGTCATAGCGATAACAATCAAAAGATTCAAACCAAATTAATCTGTAATAGAAATAGACAATAATCAATTTATCACTACTACCTTGCTTAATTCATTACTTTAACTAATATAACTTGCAATTATCATTTTGTGGTGTAATCATTATTACTATTTTTTATCGTATTTGTTTTGTTATTGAATCCTCAGTAAATTAATTGCTATTCTATATACACTAAGTTATTCTTTCATTCACCTGTTCAATACTCATCTGATTCTTAAAAAATTTGTAAAGTATTTAAATCGTTTATGTTTACTATCAGTCAGTCAGTTAGTCAGTCAGTAACAACGTAGAACTTCGTACGTACGTACATCAGTTCGAGTTGCCACACCACGTTAGCACAGAGATTCAGTTGTCGATTCAAATCCCATAGTGGTAGATGCGGTAAGAGTATAAGTAGTAATCGGAAAGATTAGGGTCTGAAGATATTACTTAACGAGTATAATCCAGTGAAATAAATTTGAAAAGAGGAAAAAAGAGACAGTAAGGACTCAGGAGATTAGAATTTGGGAGAACACAAAGAGTGGGTGAATTATGTTTATTATGTAATCCATTGTATCAATAACCGCTTCATTGTTCTAAATCTGCTATATATATTTCAAGTGATCTTCAACTGGTTTATCTTTCATTTTCTTCATTTGTTTGTTTTTAAATCTTTGCGTTGTCAGTATTAAGGTCTGAATTTCGACCAATCTCTTCTTAAACATCCTCAGAGGATTGCGTTGATATACATATTAAGTTGCAAGTGTTTTAAGTGAAAATGAACAGTGAATAACAGTGTAATCCAGGCTCTCGTATAGCAATATATACGACTCATCTAGTGGATACCGCTGTATCCTAGTATTAATGTTCACTTAACAACTGGAAGATTCCAAAACTTACCAATAAATATAATAAAATGTATTCCCGTTGCAAAATCTAGTGTCTAGTTGAACTTAACAGTTTAATCGATAATTCATTGGACATTTGAAATGTAAGGTGCTGAGTTCACATCTTGATGTGAACATAAACAATGGGATGTGTTAGATTCATCCGGCTAATGTGTTGTATATGAGATAAAACTTGCTCCTTTGATTTTAATGCTAGCTGTTATCAGCATCGAAAACCTAGAATTACTGGACAACCGTTTCGTCCTAATATGGTACTCCTCAACAGTGTCCATATACACGGTCGTCCAGTATTTCTAGGTTTTAAATAGTGGTCTAGATTAGATTAACTAATGAATTCAACTGTTAAGATTATTACAATCCCCTTGATTCCTACGTAATCTCATATGTTATTTAGTCTTAAATTCATTCATGAAGTAATCTTTTCTATCCTCCTATAGACCTATATTTTCCAGAAAAACAATCACTGATATATGTCAGCCAGTCATTTACATGCATCGGTTCAAGCTGCCACATCTCATTAGCACAGAAAGACGAACACCGGATTCATAGAAGCAGTTAATTCAGTGGTGTAATATATAAAGGAAAGATTGCATATAAGGATATAGAACAGGAAGAAAGAATTAGTTCGTAGAAAAAAAGATTTGAGATCATTTTAGTTTCATAGTTTAAGGGAAAACAGAGAGTGTATACATCTACGCCATTGTGATCGATTCTGAGACATGTCACCCACAGTCTCCAACTATTAGTTACGATAGTCACTCGAACCCCAACCAAGTAATCTGCATCTATCAACATGGCTCAGAATATATATATATATATATATATATATATATATATATATATATATATATATATATATATATATAATTAATAACTAATATATTCCTATTTACTTTCTTTCATTTACTTAATAGAAGCAAATCCTGAAAAATTCAATAGTCGTTTAAAAAATAAATTATTTTACGCTGGAGTAAGTTCAATATATGAAATTTTATATATTATTTTGCTTACATTTATACTACACAATTCAATAAGATTGAAAGGGATAAACAATTGTTCTAAATTGATATTCGTATAATAATGCCCATCTTATATTTACAGCTTAGATTCTTGATATACTATGTACCGCCCCCGGGTGGGCTCGAACCACCAACCTTTCGGTTAACAGCCGAACGCGCTAACCGGTTGCGCCATAGAGGCCCATCTTGTATCAATATTTATGTGTTTAAATAAATGTAAATAAAAAATACTATGTACAACTTGAACAGTCGAATGTTAGAACCATCCAAGAGTCAAATATGATACAAAACTATCAGGTATTTATAGTTTTTAGTAAAATCGAAATTATCATTATAATCATCCAATCCGCATACAAGTAGGGAAAGTTATACGTACAGATTCTGGGATTTTCTTCCAAAAGATGCTTGGATAGAATATTTCCAGTTCTTTATGAGCTTCTTACAGCTTTCTCGATTTCACCAATGGGCCATCCTAACAGTTCAGTTAATCAAAGTATCTTAATCGGAAATGTTGTAACATAGTATAATTGAATAGTGAATAGATGACGTATCATACTAGTTAATTAACATATTGAAAGTTTATTATAATATAGCGTTATGTTAAAAACAACTGTTTTGTTATTTGACAAAGAATTGGTGAAACAGTCATTCAGTGTTTCCAGGTTTTCCATGGTCATCTAGCTTCAATTGATTCATGATCTCAACTATTAAAAAGAAATATTTGTTTGTTTTTATTTTCGTAAACTAAAATGTATTTCTTATGTACCAATCGGTGTTGATAACATTCCAGATATATTAATCAGCTCAACAACAAGACTAGGTTTATCTTAACTTAGGAATTCTCAAAGTACTTCAGGATAATCCTGTTCATAATTAATTCAGTAAAATATTATTATGTAATGTTTCAGTCCACAGTTTTATTGTTAATTCTTAATCTCTTCATATGATCATCTTCGTATACTTCAATAAGAAATCAACCTGAGATTAATTAACTAATTTTAACTTTTTTTCATTGTCAAAAGTTAAACACGGATATATGTATGCCAGATGGTTGATTTAAGTAGAGTTTTGTTCTCTGAGTTGGATAGTATGATCATGCAGCTTTCATTATTCTTCTGAACAACGTCGTCAACACAAACTCCAGGTAGAAATGAAGTGTTCCAATCTCTTTACATATGACTCATACATTGTCTTGTCGACCTCCATCATGATTGGTTATTGTTGACCTTTAACCTTTCATTGTCTACCTCTTGATTTTGATTGTGTCTTCACCCGAAAGTTAAATGCATTTCAACTGTTTCACATAATCAAATCACTTAGTTTCTAATTATGTATCAGCGCACTAAAAAAATGTCTTGACCAAAGCCAAAGGTTGAACCTAAGAATTTCAAATAAATTGAACATTGAGTGGAAAGCTAAATAAATATATAGTTTTGTCATATCTAAATGAGTAGAAAATTGTATCACTGATGTTTCGCGATTTAACGTAAGTCACTTCTTCAGAGTTAATAAATAACCGAATTCAATTAACACAAGTTTAAATAGTACAGTTTCTTTGTTATAATAAAAAATAGATTTATTATCATTTCTAACCAAAGTACAGTGTTTATTACTTCTTCTTCTTCTTGTCATCATTATTATTTCTAAACGTTGTCACTGTTTATGATTTCAATGGATCCTTTATTCTAACTTGATAGGAAAAGATACACATAACATACAAACTAAAATCGATTCATCCAATATTCTGTAGATGCTTTGGAAGAAATAACATAGCTGTTTTTCTAAATAAATAACTCAGTTTCTAACAGTGCTGGTCATAGATAACAGAAACTTTGTATAGCCCAAACAGCTGGTTGATATTTTAAATTGTGAAAAAATGCGACCCTAGTTCATATACTATAGATTTTATCAGTTATCATAAAGATCAGTGCCAGACATTATTGGCGAGTACTAAATGATAAAGATTACCTGTCGGCTAATTTCGATCACTTAATAAAGAGCCCTAAATTTTTCGCAGTTTCAATATAATCGTGAAAGTGTAGTTAAGCTAAGATGATTTGTCTCAGTATTGAGTGCTTTTAGAGGTATGAGGGCGGTTATCACTTCCCGGTTACCTGAAAAGGAAATTGGGTTAGAGGTAGTCTTGGTGACCTGAAAGCGTGACCGCTGTGCCAAAGGGACAACTACTTGAGGTCTTTTTGTGGGTGATTTTTGTGTTGGCTCGTACTTGTCGGAACCTTATTGCGGGAGACGGAAATCCGTGGGATAAGATGAGGTGTGTATTTTCAGGGTCAACCTTTTCTAACTCCACCCTTCTTTTTTGGAAGGCAGTATTTCTGTGATGCTGGTTATGTGAAGAAAACACCTTAATGCCATTAAACCTTTGTATAGTCAGCAGCACAACTTTTCCCTCGGACCTTGGTTTGCTTCCTTTTAGTCTTACCGTTCTTCAACCAATCTACCTGGCATTGTATGACCTTGAGAAACAATTATCCGAGGTAGTATTTGTTATATCCTAGTGAAGATTAAATTACGGGTATCCTCGGAGACCGTTTTAATGGACCAATATTCTATAAATATTCTTATTGTGTAACTATTCAGTAACTGGATTATGTATATATATATATATATATATATATATATATCCCTCTTATTATAAGCTTCATTCTGACCTATAGATTATTATTGTACGATTTACTGTTCTTAAGCTATGTTCAGTTTATTGACTACTGCCTCCCACGTTCTTAGCCATCTTTGATCATATTTTGTACGGGTGTTATTTTCTATTTTATGGTGCGTTGTGGTCTCTTTGATTGACATATAAACCCAGCATGTCTGAGATAAAAGGATTCGCATAGTGAAGGCTGTTATTGGCATTCTGGACTCAACTGGACGGGTTAGGCGAGCACAGGACCAATAGGAGGCTAGTCTGATCAGACCAATCGGGCATCATTAGTTTAGTACAGTACACAAGCGAATAAGTCGTATTTTGATTAGAATACATGATAACTAGCGGGTTATAAAGTCACAAACAGTATGATTGGATTAGTTTATCACGATAAGCAAGTCAAACTAACATTTCAACAATAACAGTAACAGTCGAAGCTATCTACAACTGGTTTTTATTTTGTAAGCTCATTATTATTCAAGAAAACTTTTAAAACACATCAATGTGTAACTTCAAATTGAAATACTTTACTCATTCCATAATAACTTAGTAATTGTCTGAAATTTACTCGAAAATATGAATGATACACATCTGTTGTATACCTACATCATTGCGAATATTAATTCGTTAATTGAATAAATCATATCTAGTATGAACATATTGTAGATCAAACCTACCAGAGTCTTCATTAATGTTTTTCTTCTTTTTTCTTTTCATCTAAAATGAAGAGGAAAAGAGATTATTTAAATATTTATCAGCGTAGCGGTTGTGTAGATTATTAAGTTTTTGATTGAGATCATGAAACGATTGATGTTAGACCACCATTGAAAGCCTGGAAACACTGGGTGGCCTTTTAATTCTATTATGGGACTCTTCCTTGGCAGTGCTCATCCACAATTCCTCTCGCCGGATTCGAACCCAAATCGTTCAGCCTCACGCGCGAACGCTTAACCTACTGGACCACTGAGCCACAATAGGACGAAACGGGAGTCCAGTGCTTTCAGGTTTTCAATGGTGGTCTAGAATCAATCGATTCATGGTTTCAATCAAAAAAATATTAAAATATTTATTTTTTGTTTACATGATGTTTTTTTAGCTTGGTGGTAAAGATCTGCTTCGACGAAGTTGGCGTGATCTATCGGAACATATTACACTTATTGTAAGTTTATCGTTAATGTTAGTTTAATTGACATTATTATTACTTTTAAAGAACAATTTTGGTAAGACTATTAATTAGGGATGACCATTTGAGCGACACTCAAGTGACCTTGAGAGTGTTCACCTAGTAACTAGGACTAAATGAGGGTTATAAACAAATGTAACGAATTAGAATTATGATTTACAGTTGATAGTTAAGGTAAGGAATTAGATTTAGGTTTTTTATCATGAACTGATATCAGCTATAATGCTGAAACTTTATTTAATCAAATGGATGAGTGAATTTTGCGCCAAAAATTTGAGACGTATTATGTTGTGTCTGATTGGTTCGGCCATAAATTGTAGTTTCTCCATAATCTTCATTGGAATACTAGTAAATGAGTATAATTACTGGTGTAATAATAAGAAGAGACTTAATAAATGAAGTTCAACGGATTAAGAGGTACACATAAGAACTTGTGTATATATAATTTTGATATTCTAGACAGAACAGAACCAGTCTTTGAGAATATAGGCTTCTTCAGTGTATGCCTTCATATATTACAGGTAGTTGCTTGTATAACCATAGAATATACGTAAAACTGTTTGACAAATTCAGAATAAAATGAGATGTACCTTATGGATTCCATTGCTAATAGTTATTTAAAAGTTTATTTTAGAGGTTTCGGTGTTTACATATGAAATATAATAATGATATCATGAACTGACTTCAGTTAGATATCTATTAGTAACAAGAAAGTACTGAGCAACTGTCTAATATTAGCATAGGACTTGTTAACAATGCGCATCCACGACCACACCAAGCGATTGGACACAGGAACTTTGGTCTCATGAGCAAATACCTAACCTTTAGATCGCCGAACCATCGTGAAATAGTTTAAATATCAAACTTTAATTAATTGGTGATAATAGACAACCATTTTCTACTGCCTTTGTTGGGTGATAGCCTCACACTAGAGGTGGTTGGCCTCTTTTAGTCATGGTCTGTCACTTTGTCATCTCAAAATTCATCACTGGTAATGACATAATCATCATCGGCATAGGAGATTTAAAGAGATTTTAATAACAAAAAAACATCCTGACAAACTTTCAAAGTGATGAAATATCATACCCTACTACTTCTTTTTGCTCACAATGTCTCTGTCGTATATTTGTACATGAATTATACATTACAGCTTGTAGATTTCAGTTTAGTTCTACATCTTGTTATCTTATTTTTGAGGGTCGCTTTGACATATTTTACACATTTTAACTCATATACATAAGAAGGGTTTTTATGGATATATTATAGTAATGTCAACAGTTGAGATCATGAGTCAATTGAAGCTAGATCACCACTATGAAAAATCTGGAAGCACTGGACGACCGTTGCGTCCTATTGTGGGACTCCTCAGCATCAATTCAAAACTTTTGGTTAATATCATTATAAAATAAAGTTCATTCATTAATTCATTAAAACATCAATTGGTCAATAACTCATTTTTATTTATCCATATTTTTCTCTGAATACTTAGAAGTAATTATTGTAGGAATTACTACATAGTCAAACTGTGGAAATCTAACCATTTATTTCGCCATTTAAATAGATAATCATAAAATTTTGATAGATCTTTTCAAAAGCATTCATCAAATATCATTGTCTAATTGAGAACTAGTGAATCCTACTTATCTGTATTCTTATAAAGCTATCCACTGATAAAAATGAATGTAATCCATTAACTTCACTTGGTATTGTTTGTTTGAATCTTCCCATTGATGTTTAGGACTGTAATTGATCAATCTTTTATTGGCATATAGGCATCCTGTGCGTATTACCTTGATATTGCCTTAATTCACAAGCATTATATGTAAAGATGGATAGTTAACGGTACTGAGTTCGAGTCCCAGAGGGAACATCAACTCTGAGGTGCAGGTACATCCAGATGACGAGTCCTAAATAGGACGAAGTGCCAGGCGTCCTGGATTCCACTGCTAGCCACTATCCACTAACGTTTGCTAATGCAAATGAATAACATGATTCGCTCCAAACATTAATAAATGTGCACAGTTATAAATGTGCTCTGTCAAAGACTATTGTAATAAAAGTAATCTACTGTACCTTAGGTATTTTTCTCAGAGATTATTAGTAACTACCATACTAAATAATTTTTATCATAAGTAACGTTTTGATGACCGAATATAAATGATGTTGATTGTTATTCAGTACACTACATCAATTCATCAACCTTATTGATTAATTTGTAAACAGAAAATGTAATACATAAAATTACAAATAAAATATTGACCAACATACTATTGTGGTGTATGCTACTTATATCGAACTAAGTAGTACATATTGCAGTGTCAGTTATTATATTAAGCCCATATACCTTACTCTAGCTTTCGGACATCCCATTCTATTCATTCTACTTGAGCCATACTTTGACCTTGTTATTTATTCGCTTATCAATCTAGACTGTTTTTATATGAGCATATATGTGTGTGCCCTTCTTATCCTATTAATCACATGTCTGTAGCTTTATTTTGTCTGACTATAAATATTGAGTAACGCTTGACTAAAATGGAATTGGCTTCTCAGCCATCTTCCCTGCGTGTCGTTTTGCTCTACTCTGTTTCATTCGCTTCATATACAAATTATGTGTATTCTCAAGTCAATTCTCGTTATTCAACTTATTTAATTCCGTTATCGACTAATGCGATTTAAGTCAACGATTATATACGAGAACAGGCGATAACAATCATTCGTAAGATCTAAATAGGAGTCAGATCCACGGGCCACTAAAATGGTGAGCCCTTCAACGAACATCGTCCGATCAAAATGACGGCAAATAAGAGGGCCACGCTAAATTGGTGAGCCCTTTCGACAACGTCGTTCGATCTAAACGAAGACAAAACGACGGGTCCCGCTAAAGTATCACTAATCAGAAGTGGAATGTCTGGTAGCAGAAGTTTGAGATCAAATATAAAAAGAACATGAACAAAGTGTATTTATAATATAAATAAAAGAACTATAAAATTTGTGATAATTGATGAAGGATTTGTAAATAAAGTATTGGATATATATGGTTTTTACATTTTAAGAAAGAACTCTGTAATTTTAATATACATTGATTGTCCCCACTTGTATTATCGTTCACAACAACATCAATCCGTCCAGAGCTTCCAGGTTTTCAATGGTCGTCTAACATCAATCGGTTCATGATCTTAATTAAAAATTTAATAATCTCCACAACCCCTATACTGATGATTACTATGTTCTCACTGGTGACTAACTTCGTGAGGGAATTCTCGGAGTTCTAGTAAGAAGCCGTGATCAGTGGAGCTAATTCATGTCAGGTAGAGACAGTTATCTACCTCAGTACAATGGGAGGTGGTCGCGCGATTTCATGGAATGGTTGAACTTATACATTAACTTCGTTGAATGTCTAGTAACTTGAGCGCTCACGCGCGAAAATGAAGGCCATGGGTTCGAATCCCGCGAGCGACATTGTGGATGCGCACTTCTGAGGAGTCCTAGAATAAGACGAAACGGTCGTCTAGTGCTTCCAATCTCAATCAATAATCAATCATTTCTATCTCATTCCTGTCTGGTCTATAATTCCGAGGAAAAAAATGCAAGTGATTTTCAGTGCGATGAAAAATTTTGTATAAAATCTATATTTTATTATTTTAAAAAAATGAAAATACAAACACGCCAAAGAAAAGAAATTGTCAAGAGATCATTAAACAGAAGCAACAAACTGTTATTTAGATAAGAAAAGAAAAGAAAAACACATATGCAAATGTTAATTTTACTCAATAGAACTATGCCATTTCATCATTTTTCTCTCATTTTTTTCTTCTTTTTTTTCTTTGGGCTATTTATATCTACTAGAATTTAAATAATTTTTTAAATTTCTTTTTCTTTTTTTTTCTTTTTTCCCATTAATCATTGAGCATTGTACAATTTAATTTTAGTTAATAATTACTTTATTCCATGATCAAAAATCATAAGATTCTTTTTTTCTCTGTTTTTTTTCTATTTTTTTGTTTTTTTTTTTAACTTTTAACTCATTAATTATCAATTGAGTGAATGAGAGAAAAAAATTACGAAAAGTAAAAGCAAAAAGAAAAACTGACGATTTTATTTTTTTTTGTTTTTATTCAAAAAAAAAAGAAAAATAATAATAATTACTCTGTTTTGTGATGTCTTTTTTCTGTTTTCTTTTTTAATTGCGAGTTAAGTGTTGATCATTATGGTTTAAGCTTAATTGTTCATATTCATTCATTCATTCTGTTTAGATTATTATTATTATTATTATTATTATTCTTTTAACCGAAATAAAGAAACAAAAACCGTTTCAGTAAAATATATGGATAAAGAAAATAGGGAGTAGAATAGTTGAGAAGAGTTAATCATTTTAGTAGTTGAGATCAGGAGTCAATTGAAGTTAGACCACCAGAGAAAATCTAGAAACACTGAATGGCTGTTTCATCTTATTGTAAAACTCCTCGGTAGTGAACATCCACGATCCCACCACTTGACATTCGAATCCAGGATCTATCAGTTTCGCGCGCAAGCGAGAAATTGCTATAATGCTCACAAAAACACTTCTTATATTAGTCAGCATATGCTCACTATTGACTGGCATCAAGATATGTTTCCTGGAGTTCCAGTAAGTAGCAGTGACCACAGTTGTTTACCCAGGTCTGTTGTGAGATAGCAAGTACCTCACTGAAGACAATGCTAGATGTGTCGCTCAATTTCGTGGATTGGTTGAAGTTAGATATTAACACCGTTTGATGACAGTCGGCTCAGTAGTCTATAGGTCTAGTGTTCGCGCGCAAGACCAATAGATTCTGGGTTCGAATGTTACGGGGTGGGATCGTTGATGTGCACCGCTGAGGAGTCCCACAATAGGACAAAACGACCGTTCAGTGTTTGTAGGTTTTTCATGATGGTCCAGTTTCAATCGACCAATGATCTCGATCTTTGAAATTAATTGAAAATTATCGGCATGCTTTTCAAATAGAACTGAGCTGTTTAAAATTCATTCATTTGAATTATGATTCGTTTTGATCATCTTCAAGTTGTTAGTATTTACATTATCATATTTATCTATATTGAAAGTTTACCTATGGATGTTAGACTTTTGTTAAAATGAAAATAGTTTTGGTAACCTTTATTTATTCTTTTTTATTATCATAGTGTGATGATGAAGATTTCACTCCACTTATTCGTAGTTTGAAACCACATTGTATATTGTTTCTAAATATTCCAAGGTAAGTGAATCATTACCATGGTGAAAAGTTACTGATTATTATTATTTGTTATATCTTGATGCTTATATTCTTGATATACCGCGTATAACTTAAGCCCTAGAACGCTGAAACCCTTCCAAGTCGTAATGAGAAGACAGAAGACTATTGAAAGGATTGTTATTCCAGACAGTGTCAATTATAGTACAAAATTGTCAAGTATTAATAGGTTTTAGTAAGAAACGAAATCATCATTACAGTCCTCCAATCCGCATACAGGAGGTTATTAGCATTGTTCAATCGGGCAGCTACACGTAGGGATTTTAGAATATTCTTCCAAAAGGTGATTGGATGGAATATCCTCGGCTCTTTCTGAGCTTCTTACAGCTTCCTCGAGTTCACCCATGAACCGTCTTCACATTATTATTATCGTTATTATTCGTTATCAACAATACAAAGGAAACTGACAAGGAATGTTTTTAACCTACCCTTATTTTTGAAAATAACAGTAAAACTTGGCCTTTATTATAAATCAGTAATATGGTACTTTTTGTGGAAATTGAAGATCACGTGAGTATTCATAGATTATCAGTTAAAGTCTTAAGTGATCAATCAACTTTACTGATCCTTTGAATTATGTAATAAGACTTTGTTTCAATATAATCCAATTTGTGATAATTAAATTTCAGTATGATGTTAGAAAATGATACTGAAGTGTTAATGACTTTAGAAAAAAAACACTTATTCATGTTATTTGGTATTAGGCCTTTAAGTGTGTAAGTTTACATAAAAAGAATAGCATGAACACTTCATTTTGGAATCTATGGTTTCAATACCCCTCAGGGATTCAATTACAAAAAGTCCAATTTATAACATATACATGATAATGTAACGTATTAAGACTCCTTATTAGAAAGTTTATGAATAATTGATAACAAGTTTATATCTTATTTGATGATTAATAATCATTGTCAGTTCCATCTTATGAAGTAATAAGACTTACCTAAGACGAAAATCAATAAAATTGTTTATTGAGTTATGTCTGTCCAAGAAGTTTCGTTTGAACACATAAACAAGTGATATAAAAGTAGGAGACGGGATGAAAACCCCATTGAGAAATGATTCTGGCATACAATAGATAACTTGAAAAGATTTGGTTTCTTCTATGATATGATCGTCGTTTTTCTAGCGAGTTAGTTTTCTACCATAAAGGGTCGCTAACCCCATGCCCAGGAAGAAGCGCTGCAAGTGGATAGGACAAACATTGAGGAAAGCACCCAACCGCGTTACAAGGCAAGCCCTCACTTGGAATCCTCAAGACCAAAGAACACATTACACCGAGTAATGTAGACAGACATGAGAAAAATGAACAAATTGGATAGAACTAGAAAAGAAGGCCCGTGACAAAGTGTGTTGGAGAATGGTGGTCAGCGGTCTATGCTCCATTGTGAGTAACAGGCGTAAGTAAGTAAGTAATGATATGGTCGTCTCGAGTGATCTGTTGTATGCCTGAGTTTTCTCTAATGGGTTTCGATCACGTCTCCTACATATAGCAGATAGTATGTAGATCCGAGTCTTTGACACCAGTGCACGTGTTCTGAAGGAATTTTTAACACCCATATCTCTTTATTTACGGGATATGACCTAATAAACTATCTTAATAACCTTTTCAAATTTGGTGTTTATTTGAGGTTCTTCATCTCATTCAGTTTGTATTCTTCACTATCTGGCCACTGACACATTTTTATAATCATAAAAACGCAGATTTCTACTTGCATGTTCACATCTTATTTTCAATAGATATGGATCTGGCACCTTACCATGGGGTCAGCCAACAGCAGAATTCCAACCTCAAAGAATTGATGATGGATATATTGAAGTCATAGGTCTTACATCGACGTCATTGGTAAGTTGAATCACTTTTATATCCTGCCTGTTGTTGTAGCGTTGAAAAATGTCAGAATATTAGAAATACGTCTATTTTTCTGTTGTTACGCTAACGTCAACCGGTTCATGATCTCAACCAAAAACTTAATATTTTCCTCACCTCGATACTGATGATTACCATTTTCTCACTAGTGACTAACTTCGTGAGGGAATTTTCGGAGTTCTAGCAAGAATCCGTGACCAGTGAAGCTAATTCACGTGGGGTAGAGACAATTATCTACCTCAGTATAATGGAAGATGGTCGTGCTATTTCGTGGATTGTTTGAAACTATACATTAACACGATTGGTTGCCGGCTCAGTGGTTCAGTAGGTTGAGCGTTCGTGAGCGAGAGTGAAAGCTTTGGGCTCAAATTTCGCGATCGGGGTCGTGGATGCACACTGCTGAGCAGTCCCACAATAGGACAAAACGACCGTCCAGTGCTTCCCGGTTTTCAATAGTGGTCTAACATCAATCGGTTCATGATCTCAATTAAAAACTTAAATTAGAATTTTGCAATGAGAATACTTTGAAACCTCTTTGACATTAAATTAATTATGGATTGTCTAATAAAATGTATCAACACAGGTTGCTAAGAGCAGAATCAAACAAAATAATAAAAAAGAAAAAGAGAAATCAGCGAATAAAATTTTCTTTTCGACGAAATCATTTACTTAAGCTGTACATTCATATATATATAGTTATATGGAAAATATATGTCTATAGAGGGATAGAAGGGATTGCATCACAAAAATGAATTCGACAATAATTAACAAATGAGGTTGACGTACTAATCAAGGGGTAAGGGAGAACAGAATTTATGGGTCGGATAATAGTCCAATTGACAGATATGAAGAGAAACGTCGAAAAGAAAATTTTCTTCGCTGATTTCTCTTTTTCTTATTCAATGATACTATAGGTTATTTTAAGATAATAAAAATTTGTCATAGTGTATACCCTTGAAAACAATGATAAAACAAGTGATGTCATGATACACCTTTCATAATTCTTAACAATATAAGAAATAAACTTATTTAAGATCATCTTAAGCAACATTGAAAATCTACTGTGATTCGTTGAATTGAGTAATCAATAATTAGTCCAAAATCTGGTATTTGTTTAGCCTTTATTCTTATTTGGTTTCTGTTAGTTATTTCAAACGTGACCACCGGTTTAAATGAACAGATAATAAATACTATTATGATTGCTACACAATGTAAATACGTGAATTTTGGTCAGTTGTGGGTTCAATAGATCAGTGGTCATGTTAATAACTGAGACATTGAGTGAGTTTCTATAAGCTTACATATGTTATTGACAAGTCTCCATAAGCACAATTCTTAGTTTCAGATATTTCTCCTGAACAGTACCAGCCATGTAGTATAGTAACTTATTTACTTGGATAACCATGATAATACAGGAAGCACTAGGTAGTTAGTTTGTTACAATCACCACAAAATCCTTGTACTAATAATCATGATGTGCTCACTGGTAACTAAATTTAAGATTGTTCTAGAGTTTTAGTAAGAAACTATGACCAATGCAGTTTAAAAGCATCCAGTGTGAAGTAACTACCCACCAAGTACATTTGAAGACGGTTGAGCTGTATTATCGATTGGCTGAAATCGAACATGTAAACCATTTATCCTTAGCTCAGTGATCTAGATATTAAACGTTCGATCCCTGGTTAGGGTCATGTATACTCAATGCTTAGAAGTCTGTTAGTTATCAACTACATATGATGAGATTGTGATTTCTAGGTTCCAAAATGAAATATTTAGTTTTATGTGGTTATTTAGTTAAAATTACTTCATGATAAAGACTAGATTATCTAAATAAAAGAAACACATTACTCAATATACATGAAGTTGAGAAACTCTTTAGAATTCATTTTCAAACATCCAATCATTTATAATATTTTGCTTAAATTACACATTGAAAATTACATTTTTTTTTCAATGCATATATTGTTACTAGGCAACTTTACAAATAGGTGGACATGGTGATCGAATTTGTCAATGTCGTCGTGTACATCTTACAACAGATATTGTTATCCCTATGCAAATGGATGGTGAACCATGTCGTTTAATGCCATCAAAAATTGATGTATTCTGTTCACATCAAGCATTAGTCATACAAAAATTAACACGTTCACCTATCTCAGCTGTAACACTTAACGAGTAAGTTTATTTGTAATATTTTTTTTTAAATTTAAATAATTTTGATATTGTTGGGGACGTTAGATCTCCAAAACTCACTTGGAAAAGAAACTAATTTTCCTTTTTCCAAGTGAGTTCTAGGGATCTCACGTCATTCATTAAAGATTATTCTGGTAATCAATGGAAATGAACAACAATATTAATTAGAATGATAACTTACGATTTGTTTTTAGTAATTAGTATCCATCATTGAAGAGATTCAACTTTATTTAATCTCAAAGACTTTTAGAATTGTAAAGAAAATATTTGCACTGTGATATTATAAAGTAAAGATAATGAATTAAATGTTTTTACTCCTAGTTCAGATAGATCTTATTAGAGGTTAAGCGTTCGCACGTGAAACTGAAGGCCTTGGGATCGAATCCCACGAGCGGGGACGTGGATACACACTGCTAAAGAGTCCCGCAGTAGGACGAAACGTCCATCCAGTGCTTTCAAGTTTTCAATAGTGGTCTAGCATCAATTGGTTCAGGTTCTTAATCAGAACGATCTTGTTAGAATCATTATTTAATGTAAATATATTTCTTTTTTTTAAAGTGAACTCGTATTTAACTCATGATGCTAATGATACATTGACTGAAATGTACACTTGTATAGTATGAGTGGTATGAAATAGTCAATATTTCATTTACATCACTATCAGATCGTGATCTGCCAACCTTATTTTGACGATAATCAATAATTCAAATATAAATACTGTGAAACGTAGGATTCAATGAATAATTACTTGCTTACGTACTGACTTACTGCTGTTCCTCCCAATGGAGTATAGGCCGCCGATCAGCAGTCTCCAACCCACTCTGTCACGGGCTTTCCTTTCTAATTCTATACTACCCTTGTTCATTCTTCTCATGTATGTTTCCATTTCTCGGCGTGATGTATTCTTTGGTCTTTCTCTTCTCCTTTAGCATTGAGGATTCCATGTAAGGGCTTGCATTGTGATGCAGTTGGGTGCTTTCCTCAATGTGTGTCCTATCCACTTCCAGAGTTTCTTCCTGATTTCTTCTTCCACTGGAATCTTGTTTGTTCTCTCCTATAGTGGATTGTTACCGATAGTGTCTGGCCAACGAATGAGAAGTATATTGAGTAGACAACTGTTAATAAACACATATATCTTGTATCTTGTAACTCGCTAAAAAGACGCTAACTAGAAAAAGATAATTCAATGAATAATAGAGTAGTTATGATACGGGGAAGTACCTAAATATAAACTAATTTTTTCTCTGATAAGTGAATGTTTACAGAAAAACAAACAAACAAACAAGAGTTTGCTTCAAGGTTTAAATAGAAACCATTTAGAAAACTTAGAAAAACTTATGACATGTAAAGCCACCGTCCACATTAAAGTTTCATCATATCTGTACTGATAATTTCTCTTGATTTCAATCAGTATTTTTCTACTTATTATCTAAAAAGGGCTACAAATGAGTAGTGTTATTCTTCAAATCACTCAATGTGGTCAATACAGTCGAGTTTTATGATTATGATTATGATTATTTATATTTTTATAGTGGATTAGCAGAATATCGAAGGCTGGAAAAATTAGTTAGAAATAATCTATTGTGAACAATCAAGGTTTGTGAACACTAATGTTTGTTATCGGTGTCAAAATATACTGAGTAATAAATTATTTCAATAAATAATTTCATAATCAGAAGGGGTTTTGTGGAGATTATAGTAATTTTAATAATTGAGGTCATGAATTAATTGAAACTAGATCACCATGGAAAACCTAGAATCACTGGATGACCGTTTGTTCCTATTGTAGGACTCCTAGGCAGTGCGCATACACGATTCCATCTCACCAGATTCGAACCCAGTACCTATCAGTCTCGCACGTGAACGCTTAATTTCCAGACCACTGAGCCGACTGGCATCAAATGGTGTAAGTGTCTAAATGGGTTAGAATCTTGTGAGGTGTGACTGTGGATGCGCACTGATGAAGAGTCCCATAATAGGAAGAAACGGCCGTTCAGTACTTCCAGTTTTTCCATGGTGGTTTAGCTTCAATTGACTCATAATCTCAACTGTTGAAATTTCATAATCTAAGTAGAATAATGTGTGTGTAAGCTTTCATAGGTAACTGATTATGTCAGCGAAACTCTTATTTATCCCATTACCTTGTATGCTTTGTTCGATCTATTCAATTTACTCAGCTGCTGGAAAATAGAAAAATCACGCTTAACTACATGTAACTTATTTTTGTGATCGGATCAGATAGATTGACAACATAGAGGTTATGTATTTATTTTATAAATAAGTACTCATTGCGTGTATTATAGAGACATTTGCGATTAATATAAAGACACTTAACCACTCTACGATCATCAGTGCAGGCTTGTGGAGATTGTGGATGTTCACTGCTGACGAGTCTCATGCTAAGACGAAACACTGATCGGTTCACAATCTCAATATCATACTCTGATCGTTAATACACTAAATCACATAAGCTTTAAATTATATTAGATAGAAGAATTCATATTATCTGGACAGTTATTTACTTAGCACAAGTAATCACTAACTAGGTAATTAATTCCAGTTTGAAATTTATCAGGAATTTCCACATATACTCGTGGAAGACAAAACTTTCAAAATTTCTGAACAAACATAACACTACTGAACCATCAAGTAGGAATTCAACAGTTATAATTTTAAATTTTTTTACTATTTTGTAACAAAACAATCACCATTTTAAGATTATACAAACACTCGAACAAAGATCACAGTGTTCCCTAATCAGTGATCAATAAGTTGAAAATATATCGGTTTTACAGGAGGTTACACGACCCATGAATAGCTCAGAGTTAATGTCTGTGATTGTGAAGCTGGATAGTACAGAGTTGAATCTTCCATGAAGTATTCGTTCACTCAAGATTAAAGGTACATCTTGCTGAAGAGTGAGGACTAACTCAAAATTTAAGTTAGGTAAGACTACCATCTGACTATACCGTAATTGTTTAATAACTACTGCATTAGTGATAGAATTCATAATTATTTGTAAGATTTCAAACTAATTCACAATCAAATATAGTTTAATTTCATTATGGACAAATCCAAAAATTGCAGTAGTCTATATTGTCAATTAAGCTTACAGTATTGTTCTGCTCAATTTATCATTCATTATATTTATATGGAAACTAGTCAAGCAAACGGTGACATGCCTATTATTACGTCTACAAATTACAAATGACGGAAATGCATTAACCATAACATATTATCTTAACTAAACGAATATGGTTTGTGTAGTTGGTTAGTTGTCTCATTAAAAATCGAACAGTCCATTATTCCCTCTTTTTTCTTGTAAAGAAAGAAATTATGAAATAACTTATTGAGATAATGAACCAACTGATGTTAGACCACCATTGAAAACATGGAAGCACTGGACGGCCGTTTCGTTCTATTGTGCGACTCCTCAGCATTGCTCATCCACAATCCCACTCGCGGGATTCGAACCTCGTACTGATAATTACCATGTGCTCTCTAATCATTAACTTCGTGAGAAAATTCTCGGAGTTCTAGTGAGAAGCCGAGATTAGTTGAACTAGTCCGTGTCGGATAGAGACGGGTATCTACTTTAGTACAATGGGAGATGGTCGCGCAATTTTGTGTACTGGTTGAGGTTATTCATTAACACCGTTGGATGCCGGTCGGATAAGTGGTCTAGAGGATAGGCGTTCGCGCGTGAGACTGATATGTCCTGGGTTCGAGTCTCGCTAGGCGGGGTTTTTTTATAGATGAGTTTTGTGAGCTAACAAAATATTTGTAGATTTTGATAGGATAATCCAGTTAATTAGTGAGTAGCTACATTTTACAGTTGCCTAACATTCAATAGTAAACAAAAACAAAGCATTGTCAAATTATTTATCTTTTTATAGGTTGTTTGGATCTTCTCATTGATGTTAGGGACCGAAATTGATCAGTCTCTTATCAGTATACGTGTGCACTGTACGAACTGTCTCGATATTGCCTTAAGTCACAAGCGTTGTAAGCAGAGATTGGTTTGGTTAGCATTGAAATCCAGAACACGCGTCTTGTCCAATTTGGGACTTATCAGCTGGATGTACCTGCATCCTGTTCACTTCGGAATTCGAACCAAGTATCATTCTGTTTATAATGTTTATGAATCAAGGAATTGTCGAGGCAATATGCTAATAAGAGACTGATTAATTAAAGTTCTACACAACAATGGGAAGATTCAAACAACCAATACAGAAATGAATTAAAACTTCACCCCACTGCACAAAATAGTGGCTATCTAGACTCAGTAGTTGGGTTAAGTGCCGATTTGAACATCAACTCTTAGATGCATGTAAATCCAGCTGACAAGCCCCAAATAGGATGAAACGTGCGTCTTTGATTCCACTGCTAGTCACCATACTTCTTTGCTTATAATGCATTTTCACGATGGTTATTATACTTAACAAACCGGCTTTAAATTTTTCTTCTATGAAAAACAAATACAATTCATGTAGTTGATTTATCGATCGTTTAGAGTTATAATTACTTAAGTTTCATGAACCAGGATAGTTTTTTTTAAAAACTTATCAGTACCAAGGTCATTTTGTTAAAATAAAACAAGGTGATTTATAGATATCAATGAAAGTAGACAACTCATTCTTTTCTAATGAAATTTTCGAATCTCACGAGCGGGATCGTGGATGCGTACTGCTGAAGAGTCCGATAGTAGGACGAAACGGCTGTCCAGTGCTTCCAGGTTTTTCATGGTTGTCTAGCTTCAGTTGACACATGATATCAACCATTAAAATAATTTCTTTGAATTAATAATCTTTGAGCTCAGTGACGAACAGTATCTATAGAGGACAGAGTTAACAAATGATATACCAATAGATGTTGTTCATTTGATAGTCATTAAAGAGAAACATAACTGTAAGATATAATTTTATATCCCTATTATTAAAGGTTTGAATGATTTTGATGTCAATAATGACAATTGAATATTGATCATTTTTTTATTACTACCTGAGCGTTTTGTAGAGATTGATTGAGTGTGATCATTTTGTCACTAGTTATTATAGTATAGATGGATTATGCTTACTTACTTATTTACTTACGCCTGTCACTCCCAATGGAGCATAGGCCGCCAACCAGCATTCTCCAACACACGCTGCCTTAGGCCTTCCTTTCTAGTTCTATCCTATCGTTGTTCATTCTTCTCAAGTTTATCTCCATTTTTCAACCTACTGGATTATGATTGATAATGAAATCCAGCATGTGTCACCGTCCCTTATTCGAAACTAGTCAGCTGTAGCCCCCAAATGCCCTGGTACGGCCGAGAGTGGGGAGAGTCACAGCTCTCCCTCTTGAAATGCTCTCACATGACCACGCGTATATGGCCTCTGCCAGGGAAGTCCTACTCATTGCCTTCTTGTGGCGGGGGTGTTGTCTACGAAATTGAGAAGAGAAAAAGCGAATATCTGGTGCTTTAATCGGGTTGGTGGATAGGGATGATCCATCTAAGGGAGTTCGAGAACCCTCATTCCAAACCAATCGCGCACATGGGTTCCATGATCCGGAAGGAACAAATAGCATATGAACCAGTCGTTGGTCACCGGTTACCATGGGATTGAATCTCTTTACGATGCTCCACTGCATTGTGGATCAGACCTTTATGTCAAAGGCTCCGGGTGTGGCCCCCTAAGAGAACCACCTGCTTCAGTTTGGGTACCCGGACAGTATGACAGTGCTCACAAATATCTGGATCCTAACATTCATATTCAGAATGATCTTATCAGTGAAAACTGTTTATTCTGTGAAATATTCTGTAAAATTGTTTCAAATAAAGAAAAAGCGAATATTACATATTCCCTACTTTAATACATTTCTCATATTATTTAAAATAGAATAGAGGTTGTATACTTTGATCTAAGTTTATCCTACATGGCAATATATATATATATATATATAATTGATTCAACATGAATAATTATTTCTGATCATAATAAATTTAAAATCAATAAAGTTGTTTTCTATCTCTGTGGTAATAATAATAATAATAGTAATAATAATGATAGCAACAGTAAACTCATATTGTTCTCTTTTCTTTTATCTCTTCAATTCTGTTCATATTTAATTACCTAAAAATTGGTATTAATAATAATAATAATAACTTGATTAAACGTTAATTGGCTTCATTGTTTTTAACTGCTTGTGTTTACTTTTTCCCAATAATGATCAACTCTTCTGCTCTGATATAAATTACTCAATGATTTCCGTTTATTTATTTATTTATTTGTTTGTTTGTTTGTTTTTCCTACCTGTAAAACGTTTTTGCGTGGGCGTGTTTCTGTATTAATATGTTTATTTGTTCACGATAATTACATTGTTTGCTTTACCCTGTGTGTGCGTGTGTGTGTGTATGTGCGCGTGTGTGTGTGTATGTGCGCGTGTGCGTGCGGTTTTCTAATAATCACTTTAATGATTATGAAATATGATTATATGATATGGGGAAATATAATTTGATTTACTCTGGTGTATTTTTTTGCGGGGCGGGGGTGTTTTTAAACATAATTGAACCGGTGCTTATATATATTAATAACATATAATTATAATTATTAATAATTAAAGATTTTGCGGTCATTGTAATTGTTTTGCTTAACATCACCATATTATTAGATTATGGATCATATCATCATTGATTTGTCACAGCTGATTGATCATTATTATTTCTTCTTTTTTTCTCGTATTATCTTTCAACCATTGGATATTTACTTCACTATTATTGTTTTGTTTTGTTTTGTTTTATGATTATAATTACCTAATTAAAATAATTATTCATTTAATTAAGATTTATTGTTACCATCTATATCGATCATAAAAGATAACATTCTACCGTGAAATGTTTCAATCTGTTTTAGGTTGTTTCTTTCTTGTATAAAGAAAAACTATTATGAGGGTTAACAGGTATTTATGTCCTCTCTCTCTCTCTCTCTCACTTTGTCCCTCAATCTGCATTAAGTATCTTTAAGTTTCAAGTCTTTGTATATTACTGTTGAGCTGATCAAATTATTATGGAACCGGAGGAGGAGAAATCTTTAGTTATATATATATATATATATATATATATATATATATGGGTAGATAGATAGATAATAGAACGTTCTGGTTCCTATGTTCCTCTTGTTATACAAATGACTATGTATTTTGATTTTCTCAAACAATTTCCTTACAATCAGTAACATCTTTAATCATTATCATCTTCTGTAATTAAATTTTTTAATATTTAATTATTATATAAATTAGAACACAATCAATATGAAAGATAAAGTTGGTATATTTGTCCGTTTGTTTGCTTGTTTTTTGTCATTGTCATTGTTATAATTACATCGTTTGTTATTTTCTCTAAATAGTTCAGTTAATTGATTGAATTGGTTTACATTATTTCAAATCTGTACATTTGTGTATTACTGATACTAATTATAAAATGGATTAGATGAACACTAATTGATAGTTGATTATGGTTTCTTTTGTTTTGTTTTCTTTTTTTTTTGTATTTTATATGTTGATCTTGTAAATTTGTCGTACATCTTTCTTCTTTTTTCTTGTTTTGTTTTTTTTCTTTTTGATTGTTTGTTTATAAGATTTATTATCTTATTTTGTATTTATCTATTTTTGTTTATAAATAGATGATGTCAAATTTGTATATTGAATAGTCGCTTACTTTATATGGGTAGAATATATTGTATAAACGAAACAAATATCATTATAATCAGACAGAGGTTTTGTGAAGATTGTAGTGATTTAATCATTGAATTTATGAGTCAATTGAAGCTAGATCACCATGAAAAACCTGGAAGAATTGAACGGCCGTCTCATCCTAAGCAGTGCTCATCCATAATCCAACCCCTCGAGATTCCAACTCAGGACCTATAAGTATTGCGCGCGAACGCTTGACCTCTAGACCATTGAGCCGGTTGGTATCCAACGATGTTAATATCTAACTTCAACTAATCCATAAAATTGAGCGACACATCCATCATTGTCCTCAGTGAGGTACTTACTATCTCACAACAGACCTAGTTGAATTTCACTGGTCACTGATTCTCACTAGAACTCCAAGAAATAACTATTGGAGACAGTCACTAGTGAGCATATGATGATTATAATCAGAGAGAGGTTTTTGTGAATTTGCAAATAGTCATTTACACTTAAAAACAATACTATAATTTGTAACTGAATGAATAATAACTAAGTATAATAAACATTCAACCTAATTGATCAATGCTTTGTAATCATTTGTAAACAACAACAACAACAACAACAGCAACAAAAAGCACTTGTCAATTACCATATGAATTTGTTTGTTAAACTAATAAATGAATCATTAACCAATAAACAATAATCTTTATTTTGGAATATTTACATTTAACTAGTTTAAATGACATTTTTATTCTTAACTACTAAATTTTATCAGTTTAGGAGTTGTGGAGATTGTTAAGTTTTTGATTGAGATCATGAACCGATTGATGTTAGACCACTATTGAAAACCTGGAAGTACTGGACGCCCTTTCCGTCCAATCAAATTCATTCTATTTAAAATGTAGTCTAAACATTTCACAATTGTAGAAATATTAACGTAGTTCTTTAACACTTGCATTTCTTATACTACTGTTATAGATATTAACTATAGTTTGCTTATTACTGAATAATCTATGAATCAAGTAAATGATTATAAATTTTCGTTTGTCTGTTTTTATTTTTGTAGAGATGGAAATCATCTACAATGGAAAACAATTGGTGGTTATGAAACAAGAATAAATGTATTTGTGATTGCTTTAAAAGATTATAATGAAATGTCCGATGATGTAATCAGTTTACGTCAAACTGGTAAGTATAATAGTTCACTAATTAATAATGATTAATATCAGAATAGGTTTTGCGGAGACTTTAGAAATCTCACTGGTTGAAATCACGAGTCAATTGAAGCTAGACCACCATGAAAAACCTGGCCGTCCAGTGCTTCCAGGTTTTCCATGGTGGTCTAGCTTCAATTGACTCGTGATTTCAACCAGTGAGATTTCTAAAAATCTCCACAAAACCCATTCTGACAATAATAATAATAATCACCTGCTCACTAGTGACTGACTTCAGGAGATACTCCTGAAGTTCTAGTGAGAAGTCGTTACCAGTGGAGTTCAATCAGGTCTGTTGTGAGATAGGAACTCACTGAAGACAATAGTGTACGGTGGCGCAACTTCGTGGATTGGTTGAAGTTAGACATTAACACCGTTGGATGTCAGCTCAGTGGTCTAGTTGATTAAGCGCCTGGTCCTGGGTTCGAATCACGCGGGGTGGGGGATCGTGGATGCGCACTTCTGAGGAGTCCCGTACTAGGAAGAGACGGCCATCCAATGCCCCCAGGTTTTTCATGGTGGTCTGGCTTCCATTGACTCATGATTTCAACCAGTGATATTAAAGTTTAGTTATAATTGAATAAGCTGATTCAAGTCATTATCAATATACTAAGTGCATCTTAAACAGTTAATATCAGTTCAAGAAATCAGCTATATGTATGTTTAGTCGCTGATATAAACTGCACTTGTTTGTAGAGATCTCAATAAAACACATTCTAGACGATTGATTGTGTATACTCGACAATTTATTTTGTGAAACTATATTAAGTATCTAACTTGGAGAATACAATTAGACCTGACGCTTAAAAATCATATTAACATACACTTTTTGTCAGATTTACCAATACCATTACTTTTTATTGAAATTATGAACTTTTCAAAATTAGAACACCATTTTAAACCTGGAAGGAGTGAACAGACGTCTCGACTTGATATGGGACTCCTCAGAAGTGTCTAATCGCAATCCTGTAAACGGCAATCAAACATAAGACTTACAGTTTTGCGCGAGCGCCTAACCTTTAGACCACTGAGCCGGCACCAAACAGTGGTAATATTTAATCTTAATCAATTCAAGACTCTATGCTACATTCTTCCGTTGTCTTCGGTGGATAACTGACTCAAAGTTTATGCAGTTGAACTCCACTGGTTACAACTTCTCACTGGAACTACGAGAATCATCCGTGAAAGCTATTCACCAGTGAACACATAATAACTAACAGTATCGGATTGCAGAGATAGCTGAGTTTTATTAAGATCATGAACCAACCAATATTAGATTACTAATGAAAATCTGGAAGCACTGTATGGCCATTTCGTCCTAGTATGTGACTTCGCAGCAATGCGTACCAACCACCATGGTCCCAATGAAACTCAACAATCTCCACAACCCTATACTTACTATTACTTTTGATAAAGTCTGAATATTGATTCCCTACAATATTCGACTTTTCAACAGACTGTAAGGTACTTTCTTATTTATAAAAATACACGTGTTACGTATACCTGAACACTGATTACCACGGCAAGCAATGCTGACTAGTGTTGGAGACGGCTGGAACAAAGTTAGAGACGGCCAAACCAACCAAAACGTGGAATCAGTTCTTGAAGTCACTGACTCCTAGCCTGAGCCATGTTGATAGATGCAGATTACTTTTTTGGGGTCCGTGTGACTATCGTAACTAATGGTTAGAGACTTTGGGTGACATGGCTCAGAATCGATTACAATGATGTAGGTGTATACACTTTCTGTCTTCTCTTAAACTATGAGATTAAAATCGATTCATATCTTTCTTTCTATGAACTAATTCTTTCTTCCTGTACTACATCCTTACATGCAATCATTCTTTTATATACTACTACCACCACCACCGAATTAACTACTTCTATGAATTCAGTGTTGATCTTGTTGCGTTAATAAAGTATGGCAACTTTGACCGATGTATTTATCTGTGTCTGGTCCTACGTTGTAGCTGACTGACAGAATAAAGATACATATTGACGATTGTACATACACAGACATACAAAACTTGTAATTGATGTTTCCAACTTTAAAATTAATGAATAGTTTTATCGTTACAAAAAATAATTGTTCGTATTCTTTTCTTTTTATGCAAACTCTCTTTCAAATCTGTTGTCTCTTTTCTTTCTTCTTTAAAGCTGTGTGGATCGGTATTATTACTGCAAAATATGATACAGACTTATCAACTGTAAGAAAAATTATTACTCAATTGAATAAAGATAATGCTCAAGAGAATTTATACAATGAAAACTCTCAATCCATAGAAACTAATCTAAAAATTCGAGTTCATTTATCGGATTCTTGGGTTTTTATTGATTGTAAGTAATTGATTGTACTATACACTTTATTTTTATTGTTGTTAATATTAAAAAGAATTTTGTGGATATTATAGTAATGTCAATAGTTGAGATCATGAGTCAATTGAAGCTAGACTACCACTATGAAAACCTGAAAGTACTGGATGGCTGTTTCGTCTTATTGTGGCACTCCTCAGTAGTACGCGTCTACGATCCCTCCTCGCGAGATTCGAACCCATGATTTATCGATCTCGCGCGCGAACGCTCAGCCATTGTTAATATTGTTACATTCCATGATGTTGTTTACTTTCCATACAGTTTATAGCTGCTCATGTGCAATTGAGTTTGTTCACATTTCATTTGGCTAAGCCTTTTTTGTTAACTTATTTAACGAATAGTGTAGTCATTCGTACAATAACAACTTATCTTATATCATTGTACCTTTATTATTGTTACACTTGTATGAATATGTACACTTGAGTATTGCTTACTGCCTACGCATATATTCATTCGGCTAGCATTATTATTAGTCGTTCAATTGATTCGATTATTCATTCGTTTCCCTAGGTATATATATGTACATTTTAATCCTGTTCATTGACTCAACGACTCGCTGGTGAAACTTTAATTTATGGACGACCATTGAGCGACGCTAGACTGACTTTGAGAGTGTTCACTTAATAACCAGGACCTAATGAGTGTTATGAACCTGTGTAATGAATTAGAATTCTTATTTACAGTTGATAATTAAGCTTAGGAATTATATTTCTGGGTTTGATCATGAACTGACATCAGCTATAATGCCAAAACTCTATTTATCCAAATGGATGAGTGAATTTCGCGCCAAAATCTGAAACCTGTTGTCTTATACCTGATTGTTTCGTCCATAAATTATAGTCTCGCCTACTCTCACACTCATTCGCTTGCCTGATAGCTTTTCAGCACTACTCTTTCATGTTTGTTTAACGTACCTGTAACTTTGGTTATCTGTGCGTGGTGCAATAATAAACGTAATCAACACTTCGTATTCACCTTCTAATTAATACACTGCTGAGGCATTATCTAGCGACGGTTATCGGATGAACTATATACGAAATTTAAGGATTATATTGAATACCGACCACCACAAGTTACTGTCAATATGTTTTATTTACAATGTTAATTTGTAAAATATGTATCTCTCATTTTTATTCTAATATAACCTAGTGTTTTCCCGTATTGATATATGAGTAGTTTCGTTAAATAATTTGTTCTTTATGGTTCCGAAGACAATTAATATGCTTATGTACAATAATTGCACCCTCGTTTTATGCTTCTTGTCAACTTTATAAATCTATCGGTCAAGAATTCTGTTTAATAAATAGTTTCCATGGTAGTTGATTGAGTATAGAATATCATCATGTCTATACATCGTTTACAGGTAGTCCGGTTATAAATGCCAATGCTTGGGATGTATAATCATCTGAAAATCTTGTGCTTCAATGATATATACACATTTCAAGGTTATAAAACATAGTATTGAATAATATCACCAACAGTTGGGATTGTCATCTTTGAAGCATTTACCCCATATGATGGAACACTTTAGTTAACATTATCGGGAATGGAAGTAGGATACTAAGTAAAGGTAACCATTAACCATCAGTTTAGGCTGATAGAACATGTAATATAAACGGCTATTCCTAATGTTGTCCAATATAGAAGATTGAAAGATGGGTAGATGCTTCCAAAAAAGACCATCCTTCTATTAAATCAGTGGCTATTGGTTTTAAGAATGTCGGCAGTCATAAACTAAAATCGTTGTCATTTTGCAGACACAATACCTTTTCTTACTACTAAGAAATTGGGAATAATGTTAATTAGCACTCGGTGACCGGTTTACATCATATGTATATATTGTTCAAAATAAAGAAAACAAGTGTTCATATATCTATGTATATCTTTGCATTCTTACTACAACTGAAAAGACAGGCTCTGGTCAAAGTTGCCTGAAAATTCCTTATTGGCAGGCTATGCCATAAGTAACGTAAAAAGGTGTGAGTAAATAGGTGATGTTGTCTAATTGTCTGACTGTAATTTACATTTACAAAAGAATATGATCTCAATCAGTTTAATCGGGTATCACCTAATCAGATTCAACGGTTTCATAAATAATACACGTATACCATAATCCATAATAATATCATCATAAGAGAATCCCACTTTCTATTATGACCTATTTATATTTACTGGATAGTCACGAATTACTTTCAACAAAGTTGACGACTACAGTTTCAGCATAATCAGGATTGTTCTAGATCCCCGAATCAGAAGTCCTTGAGGTTACAATTTATAAAATGTTAGACTAATAATGATTTGAATTATACTAACAATTGTTTTAATTTTCACAATAGATAAAATATAGGCGACTTTATAGAGAAATATTACGAGTATACTCTACTTCATTCTTGTATACAAAATATCTGACACAAAAATAAGCACAGTTAGACAAAATCAAACATAATAATTATTGTAATATATATTGTTTCTTGTTATAACTTGTGGCCTGAATGTCCTGTTAATGTATAACGTAATGATACCGCCAATTAGAGAGCAGCGAATTATCGATTGGACCAATGACGCATAAAACTCGTGCGAGCAGTCTGGAGTACTTATCGGTCCTGCTTCCCGCCTAGCCTAGACCAGCCAGTTAAGTTCAGGCCACCAATCTCATCCTCTGCAGTATAAATTGTTTATTTCAAATATACTGGGTTTATATACCAACCAGACAGACCACGTCGTATCATAAAATAGGAAACAACGTTCGTACAAGATTTAGCCAAATGTGGCTGTGAATCAGGGAGATAGTATTTGATAAACAAGTTGTGGTATGTGCTACTTATATCGATATAAGTAGTATAGAATGTTAATCATGAACAGAATGTCTGGTAGCACAGAGACAAGAGGATCAAACAGTAAAGAATGGAAACAGAATGAAATTTGTATGAAAATGCAAGAACAATAAAGTCTGAGACAATTGATGAACATTTTGTAAATTAAGCATTTACTATTTGAGTGTTGGATTTTATTAGCAAATCCTGTAAGTTTGAGTCAAATACATTCGGTTGTGTCCACTCGTGTTCTGTTCAATATAAGGTCATAATTCAAGAATGGTAAATCGTATAGTAATAGTTCATACATCAAAATAAAGCTCATAATAAGAGGGACATGAATATGAATAGTTTAGTTACATAACAATCGTACGATAAAAATATATGTATAGTACTGGTCCACAAATAGATCCCAACACTTATCATTCATTATGATTATGTAGTTTAATCACTAGCAAATGATAACAAATATAACTGTTCAGAAATAGACTACAGTCAAGTGGGTTAAACGCGGCGTACTCCTCAACGACATACTTAATATCAAATCAAATCAAGTATAGTTCATATTATAATCTTCTTTTCTCTTTATGATCTTCAATTTACCAATTATAGGAATTCCTTCTATTCATTCAATCTATTATGAAAAAAAGACAAACTATTTAACGTTAGGCAAAACATGGATCAATTAATTGAACACTATACCTTCTAAGATATTGTTATATCTTATGACCGCCGATTAGGAGGTAGCGACTTATCGATCGGATCAATGACGCGTAAACACGTGCGAGCAGTCTAGAGTTCTGATTGGTCCTGCTTTTCGCCTAGCCCAGTCAGTTAAGTCCAGAACACCAGTCTCAGCCTCTGCTATATGAATCACTATATTTCAAACATACGCTGTTTATATACCAATCAAGCAGACCACATCGTACCATAAAATAGAAAATAACATTTGTACAATATTTGACCAACAGGAAAATGACACGTGAAATAAATATTGATCAGTAGGAAAATGATACCATTCCAAGTCCAAGGATAGCATTATACTTAACAGGATAATTTTTGGGATATTTTTCTGAATATCCCAACAGATATTCTAAGAATACTTTGATTAGTTGAAATATAATTAAGTATATTGTATTGTCATATGTTTGAAATGTTTTAAAGTAAAGAAAAAGATTGGCATATAATAAGTAACATACTACTTTCAATATAATTTCTTTTCTTTTTTCTCTTTTCTTTTCTTTTTTTTTCTTCTTCTCCTTCTTCTTCAATAAATCAATATAGCAACCACTGCAGCTAGTCGATTTTTTCGTATTGATATAGAACAAGAAAATGTACATTTTTTAACGGATGTTTGTAATATGGAAGATTTATTTCTTATTGATTCTATATTAGAATCCTCTCTGACATATAATAATAATAATAATGATAATCCAATAGCTAATTCTTTAATTGATCATCATGTCTTACTTCCATTACCATCTAATTCATCATTACTGCAAGATGATAATGATAATGATGATAAAGATGATAACCAATTAAATCGATCAAGAGTCAAGGAAAGTTTAACATGTGAAACAAGTTATGAAATCAAAGTTGTTGAACCGGAAGATGAGGATCAATTACATAATAGATTACATCCAATTGACGTAAATTTATGTTTTGATTATTTAAGTTATCATTTCTTTTGTTGTTGTTGTTGTTGTTTATTTATATCCGATCATGATTTTCTCTTCAATGAATTAAATGACATTGTGCAGTGTGCTATTTTCGCTCTCTTCTCATTTCTATCCACCACATAGCGGAAAATGAGAGATTTATGTCGAACAGATGACTTAAAAGTTCGATTCGTTCTTCCGGAATAAATTTACTGCTTTAGTAATTCTGCTAATATAAAATAAATAAAAACTTGATCGTTAGCATTTTTCTCTTTATCTTAATGGTGTTGATCGAATATTATCGATAGAGTTTCAGTGTAACAGATTGTATAATGGATTCGATATGACTGTTCATTATTTTGATGAAAGATCAATGGTGATCGACAAGAAACATTGAGCTCATGTTTTCAGTTTCAGTTTCAGTTTCAGTTTGGGAAGGACAGGAGGCTCGATGGCCTATGTTAGTCCTGGCAATGGTGGTCTCTCAGTTGATCCAACTTTCTTTTGAAAGAGTCGACGGATGGAGCCTCAACCACGTGCTGAGGTAGTGAATTCCACTCGTTGATGATTCGATGGGAAAGTCGATAGTCAGCTGACAAGTAATTTGTTCTCGGCTTATGAACTTTTTTGGAGTGTCCTCGTAAATTCTCTGTTTTGGAAGACAAGAAAAATGAGGGCATGTTAGGTGCAAATTTATCACTAAGCAATTTGTAGACTGTAATCAAGTCGCCTCTAGTTCTGCGATATGACAACGGGAAAAGGTTCAGCTTGGCCAGTCGAGATTCATACGGAAGCTTCGCTATTGCGGGAACCAGCTTAGTCGCCATTCTCTGAATCTTTTCCAGGAGCTCTCTGTCTTTTTTAAAGCAGGGGCTAGCCGCTTGTATGCAGTACTCAAGTTTAGGACGAACGAACACTGTATACAAAGTCAAAAAAGTCTTAGTGTCGACATGACTAAAAGCCCTACGTATTGACCATAACGTTCTAAAACTTTTGGCGGCTATTGCACGGCAGTGTGCAGTAGTCTTTAAGTCTTGACTAACGATAACTCCTAAGTCATTATATGTCTGGACGACAGGTAGCTCAGTGTTATTCATCGTGTATGTATCTGTGCCTTGATGACCGATATGCATCACAACACACTTGGAAGTATTTATCGGCAACTGCCATGTTTGAGACCATTCAGATAACTTCTTCAGGTCATTTTGAAGTTCTAAGCTATCACTCTTACATCGTATCGTTCTCCATATCTTGACATCGTCAGCATATAGCAAGACCGATGATGATAGGAGACAAGGAAGGTCATTTACATACAAGAGGAATAGCACTGGCCCCAGTGCTATTGAACCAGATTAGTAGATATTTGTTTAATAACATGAAATCAACTGTATCATAATGATTTACATTGTTTATAGACTTATGATAAAAACTTCATATAGCAAATATTCTTAAAGTTGCCTATAGTATAAAATCTAATATACTTACTTTACTTATGCCTGTTACTCCCAATGGAGCATAGGCCGCCGATCAGCATTCTCCAACCCACTCTGTCTTGGGTCTTCTTTTCTAGTTCCATCCAATTCTTGTTCATTTTTCTTATGTCTATCTCCATTTCCCGGCGTAATGTGTTCTTTGGTCTTCCTCTCCTACTTTGACCTTGAGGATGCCATGTGAGGGCTTGCCTTGTGACACAGTCGGGTGCTTTCCTCAATGTGTGTCCTATCCACTTCCAGCGCTTCCTCCTGATTTCTTCCTCCGTTGGGTTATGGTTTGTTCTCTCCTATAGTAGGTTGTTGTTGATAGTGTCTGGGCAAAAAAATGTAATATACATACAATTTAAATAAACTGATGTTTGATATCATAAATTCAACTTTCAAAATACTTATCTGATATAAGCGAAAGGAATTAAATTCATTTGGCGTTGTTTTACTTGTATCTTCCGATTGTTATTTACGACTGTAATTGATCAATCTCTTATTAGCATATGTGCATCCTGTACGGACTGCCTCGATATAGCTTGAAGTCACAAGCATTGTAAGCAATGATGGATAGCGGCTAACAATGGAATTCAGGATGCGTGTCACTTTGTCCTATTTGCGAATCGTCAGTTGGATGTACCTGGCATCTCAGAGTTGATGGGACTCGAACCCATTACCGTTAGCTTCAAACGCCATCGCATTTTCCATTTAGCTACTGAGTCCTGATAGCCACCTCCATGTGCAATGGGGTAAAGTTTTAATTCACTTGGTGTTGTTTTGCTTGTGTCATCCCATTGTTATTTAGGACTGCAGGTGCATCTAGCCGACTAGTCCCAAATAGAACGAAGTGGCACGCTTCCTGAATTCCACTGTTAGCCATTATCCATTTTTGCTTGAAAGGAATTAGTTGGAAAAAGAATACCATTTATGAAAACATGAGAATATCAAACAGTTAGTTTTAACTAATTCGAAGAAACATACAGTGAGGCATAAAATCTGTAAGACATCAATTAAAAAAAACACATCATATTAGTATAAGTGATTCGTTATAATTATTGAATTTTACATTTTACATCAAGAACTTACCTTAGACAACCAGTAAAAACCAGGAGATTCTAAACAGTTGAGATGGTGGAGAAGATTTGTAGCTCAGGTGGATGATTTTGGTGGAATTTTTTTTTCTGAGCTAGATGACTTGGTTGTGCTTTTTGTTACTGGTTGTTTCGACAGGTCGACCATGCAGCTGTTTGTGTTTTCTCCTATGAGTTGTTTTGAGATCCCGATTAGTTTCTTCTTTGTTCTCTGTGTCGTTTGCATGATATTTCGATGTCTGTTGTCAAGATTTTCAAATCTTCTGACGTGAGTGCCCTTTGTAGTTTTATCTTTTGGTCCTCTATAACGTGTTGTTATTTGCGGATCCTGTAATATGCACCCGTTATCATTAGGTGTACCATTTTTCTTCCACTTTGCTCAGCTATTCTCCATCCCACGACCAAACTATCCAGCTCAGAGAACAAAACTACACCAAAATTCTAGACAGTTGTTTCATCGTAGTATAAAACTCCATAGTAGCGTAAATAAGGCTAAATCCTTCAAGTCTTATGGAGAGCGCTTAGTTAGTTGCTAATCAATGGTTCATATTCAATCCATTGGTGATATTCTATAAATAGAAATGATTTTCTCCTGGAGATTACATTTTTCGAAGTCATAAAATTGGATAATATATCATAATAATAGACTACCATAATGTTTATTACTAACAAATTATCACATTTTCAACAAACAATTTATTAAATATCCTTTTTGATCATTTTAGGCAAGTAATCTTATAGCGTCCAATAATGAGAATGAGAATGATGATCATGATGATGATAACTCCATCGACGACGATGATAATGCTGTTGCTGCTGATGATGATGATGATGATGCTGATAATGATGAATGTCTTATTAAAACTCAATCACAAAACAACTTCATTTCCACAAATAATACATCTTTTGAAAGGGACATTTTTAGTCCGTAAGTTACATTATTTAAATTCACATAAACTGTGTTCTTTCTTTCTCTCATTTGAATTAGGTCGATTAGTGATTAAGAACAATTTTATGTTTTATTATTCATAATTGTACCCAATTCAAACCATATAACAGTGATAAATAAATAAATAGAAAACTACCGAATTTGTTATTAATATGCTCAATCAACAACAGGTAGGCTGAATAACCTTTTTATTTTAATCAAAGAAAATTGTTTATCTTTCTTTCTTATATAAACTGGTAACTATATTTAAAGAATGATTTTCATTATGATTTGATTTCAGTTGAAACATTTATAGAATATTGACACAGCTGCTTCAGTCAGTCAGTTAGTCATTAGTTTGTAGAAAGAATGATATAAAGTAATCACAATCGATTGATCACTGGGTGGTGATTAATGTCATGTGTGTCAAGTCCTTATTGGTGCAGATCGAATGCTATTGACCATGCTGCAATGTGGCTACCAGTCTAGGTGACTCGATATTGCGTGCATTATGTTGCGATTAAATGGTGGTTGGAGGCAGTCAACAGCAAATCCTGGACCCGGGTTTCGTGCTACTCGGCACTCGTCAGTAAGGTGAACCTGTAATCTTTGGGGAACTGGTGCTCCTTAACGGATTCGATCCCGTGTCGCCCAGCTTCACAGACAGAGACGTTACCACTGGGCTATCCGGGTCGCGACAGATCTCCTGTAGAACTGAGATGTAATCACAATTGATTAATCACAAGAGGGCTGACCAACGTCATGTGTGTTTCAGTCTAATCTAATCTCAATGGTATCAAGCAATTTTATTCTCATAGTTTAAGGGAAGACAGAAAGTGTATACACCTACACCACTGTGATCGATTGTGAGCCATGTCACTCAAAGTTTCCAACTATTGGTTACGATAGTCACGCGGACCCCAACAAAGTAATCTGCATCTACCAACATGGTTCAAACTGATTCCACGTTTTCGTTGATTTGTCCGCCCCTAACTTTGTTCCAGCCGTCTCCAACGCTAATCAGCATTGCTTGTCGTGGTAATCAGTGTTCAGGCATACGTAACACATGACCCAACCATCTTAGTCGATGAATATTCACAACCTCATCAACTGATTTACCATCAACCCCTATTACCCTACATCTAAACTCACTACTACATACCCGGTGATCCTTGGAACAATACTAATCATTTAAAAATTGAATTGTTAATTTTCAAAACGTTTTTTTTATTGAATTACTTAAACTGTAACATTGAATTTAATATCTATATTTACTATTTATAAAAGTATAAAGTTGTAAAAGATGAAAGTTGACAATATAACCTGTAACTTCTATCTCTTTTTGATGGAGTTTTGTTCTCTAAGCTGAATGGCTGAGTCGTTGATCTTTCATCTTTCTTCTTCATCGTTCAGAAGAACGATAAAAGCTCCACGAGCAAATCATCCAGCTCAGAGAATAAAACTCCATCAAAATCATCTACTTGAGCTACAAATCTCCATCAACTTTTATCTCTTTAAATTCATCAAAATCCATATGATACAGTTATATTGATTACAGTAAGTTCTCACGTTATTATTTATAGAATTTAATGAAAAAGATCAATCAATAGATCAATTGTCTGAAAGTGACCATTTTTATAAAGAACTGCTTTATATCAACATAATTTTTCATTGGTTACTCAATATCTCTTCTTCAAATTTCTATTTTCGTCTATCACCATTGAATATCACCATTTTGTATAATAAGAAAGAATTTCTATCCAAAGTTCCATAGAGCTTTTCCAACAGCTTATCGATTTTGAGTGGAAGGATTGTGGATGCACGTTGCTAAGGTGTTCTACACTAGAAGAAAAAAAGAAGAAACAAATATCCAATGGTTCGTGATAGTCACTCTTTATGTAGAATGAAACTTAAAAACGATAAACAAATGAATGAAAATTTATTCACAGAATACCTTTGAAAGTAGACAAAAGTTCAGCTTAGAAATCGATTAAATAAGACAAATAAATGGAATGGAATGTATCACTGTATTTGAACATTTCAAGCTCATTGTAATGAATGATATTTGTTCAAAAGAATTTGTAATAGAAATTGAATAGACCAATGAATAACGGTATTTCGTTTCAAGCTCCAAGTTATTGTTTTAAATCCGGTTAACATTGTAGTGGACGAGAACACAATTGAGGACAATGGAATTTATTTGAGCACAAACTTACAAAATCTCTTAGTAAAATCTGAGAACCATACAGTAAATAGTTCATTTGTAAAATTTCAATCAATTGTCTTAAACTTGACTGTTCCTTTAATAAATATCACTAAATCATCTCAGATTTCATTGTTCCTAAATTCTCATACCAATTGCTGTCTGTTCCCGTTCTTTCTTTCTCAACCTTCTGCCGCCTGACATTCTAATCATGATTATCGTTATATACTACTCATGATGATATAAGTAGCACACATACCATAATATGAATAAAAGTTATTTATCTACATCAGTTTAATTACTTACTTACTTAGACCTGTTACTCATCGTGGTGGAGCATAGGCCGCCCACTAGCACTCTCCATCCAACCCTGCCCTAAGCAATCCTTTCCAGTTCCTTCCAGTTGTTATTCATCCTTTTCATATCAGCTTCCATTTCCTGACGTACTGTGCTCTTTGGCCTTCCTCTTTTCCGCTTCCCTTCGGTATTCCAAGTCAGTACTTGCCTCGTGATGCAGTTAGCTGATTTCTTCAATTTATGTCCTATCCACTTCCATCATCGCCTCATAATTTGCTCTCCAGCTGGTTGCTGGTTTGTTCTCTCCCAGAGAAGGCTGTTGCTGATGGTATCCAGCCAATGGATGTTGAGTATCTTGCAAAGACAGCTATTTATAAATACTTGTACCGTCTTGATTGTGGTTGTTGTAGTTCTCCAAGTTTTAGCTTCATACAGTAGAACTGCCTTGATGTTCGTATTGAAGATTCTCACTTTGATATTGGTTGAAAGTTGTTTTGAGTTCCATATGTTCTTCAATTGTAGGAATGCGGCCCTTGCTTTGCTAATCCTCGCTTTTGCTTTTAATTAAGTCTAAATAGAATAATGAATTTGTATTCTGTTCAAACACATTTTTGACTATTATTATACAATTTCCAATCATTTCTAGACTAGTTCATCAAATCTGATCATAAGAACTGATTTTAAACACTAATTATCAAATGAGATAATATCTGACTTAAACCAGAAACGTATACACATCAGAAATGCTAGTCAATTATTATTTCAAACCAGATCTATGAGTCTAGAAAAGATTTAGTCAAGTTCAATCAAGTCATTTTTATTTGTTTATCTGTTACCTCTAATTCAAGTGAATTATCCTCTTTCATTTATACTTATTTTCAAGTGACTATATCATATTACCTATTGCACTGTTATGTAACATTTATTAATTTATACATTCATTTCTTTATACTTGAATAGTTAAGAGTGATCCAAAGCCTTTCTGTATTATGATAGACTTTAACGTACATTAAATGTGCTATAAATACAATAGGACAAAATGAGTAAATGATACCATTGATTAGAAAATTCTCTTCTTTTCTTAATTGAAAACTAATTTCAGAAGGAGATTTTTGTGGATAATATAGTAATTTTAATAAATGAGTTCATGAGTCAATCGGAGTTAGACCAACATGGAGAACCTAGAAGCACTAGATAGCTGTTTTGTTCTATTGTGGGACTCCTCCTCAGCAGTGCGCATTCATGATCCCACCACGTGAGATTCGGATTCAGGACCTATCAGTCTCGTACGCGAATGCTTAACCTCTAGACTACTGAGCTGACTGGCATCCAATGGTGTTAATGTCTAACTTCAACCAGTCCACGAAAATGAGAAACACATCCGCTATTGTTTTCAGTGAGTTACTATCTCACAACAGACCTGGTTGAACTCAACTGGTCACTGCTTCTCACTCCAGGAAATACCTCTTGATGTCAGTCACTAGTGAGCGTACGTTGATTAATACGAGAAGGGGTTTTGTGGATATTATAGTCATTTGAATAGTTCAGATCATGAGTCAATTGATGTGGATACATGCTGTCAAAGAGGAGTCCCACAATAAAACGAAAAAGCCATCCAGTGCTTCCAGGTTTTTCATGATGATCTAGCTTCAATGGATCCATCATCTCAACTATTAAAATTAATTAATGTAAAACATTGTAATTATTTACTACTTATGAGAAAAAGAAATTATAATTTAAACTGTTACAAGTATTACAATTTCTATGCACAAGATCTGTGATATCTGCTACTTATATTGACAGATAAAAGTAGTATGTAACATTAATCCAAAGTGGAATGCCTAGTAATAGAAGATTGTTTGAAGAGAGAATTAAACACCGAAGAAATGTAAACCAATAACCATTTGAAATAACAATGAGAATGAAGTTTGTAAAAGATACCTAATGTAAGAGATATGAAAATTATGCATTTAATGTATAATTTTTAGATTTTATCAAGATATTCTGTAATGTTGTATTAAACAATAAATTGATCTTTCAAATTTGACTTCTTCATTCACTTCAGATCTACAATATTACATCATTTAGAAAACACCGACGATATTTCATTGAGACCAGATAAACAATATTGAAGATTTTTTGAACTGTTGTAAAAAAAATGTCAGCAGGAACTCCTGACCGAATAGTCTTTTTGTTTTGTTCCTTGAAACTAATTTTTGCCGTTCAGTCATATAGATTGGGTTGATAAACTCAAGAATAGAGTAAGTAGATAATATGATGACTTATTCCCATGTTTGTAGATTTCATTTACAGAATAGATTTACTACTGTATATTATATTCTGTTATAGTATTTAGTATATACCAACCAGCAATAATATACAAGTTAGAACTTTCATATTAATCCCATTTAAACATTGTTCGGTGATATATAAATATATTTGGTTTCCCTTTATATTCATATTCACAACAACATAAACATATTTTGGTAGTTGAATTCATCAATCAGTCTAAGCTAGACCATTATTGAAAACTTGCAATCACTAGACAGCCGTTTCGTCCTAGTATAGGACTTCTTAGAAGCGCTTATCCATGATCCCAAATGAGGGATTCAAACATAAGACTTCTTACTGCGTACACAAACGCTTAACCTCTAGACCACTGCTACAATCTCCAAAAAGATGAAAATTATTAATATCACTAATTCACAATCACAATAGTTTAGACTATACTTCACTTTCAGACATAACACTTGAATTATGAACATAGCAACACAATCTATACATTATTAGAAAGGATTGTTGTACATCCAATTGATAAGTACCAAATAGAATGAAAAAAACATGCTAAATTTAACTGAAGGCGCACAATCATTCTAGTCTATAAAAAAAGCAATTGTTAACGAGACTATAATTTATGGATGACCATTTGAGAGACACTGAAGTGACCTTGCAAGTAGACACTTATGGAGGGTTATAAAGCAGTTAGAATTTTCATTTACAGTTGATGATTAAGATTAGGAATAAGATTTAGCGTTTTCATCACGAACTTATATCAGCTATAATGCCAAAATTCTATTTAGCCAAATGTATGCATGAATTTCGCGCAAAAATTCATTACTCGTTATCTTATACATGATTGGTTCGTCCATAAATTATAGTCTTGTCCAATTGATTACAAATGAAATAATTACCTATCTCGTTATCATTGAACAACGCCAAGTGAATATAACTCCAGCCCATTGCACAGGCAAGTGGTTATCAGGACTCAGTATCTAGGTGGAGAACGCGACGGCGTTTGAACCGAACGGTACTGGTTTCGAGTTCCGGTGTGAACATCAACTCTGAGATGCCAGGTACATCCAACTGACGAGTCCCAAACAGGACGAAGTGACACGCGTCCTAAATTCCACTGTTACCTACTATCCATCATTGCTTACAATGCTTGTGACTTCAAGCTATATCGAGGCAATCCGCACAGGATGCACATTGATCAATTACAGTCCTAAATAACAATTGGAAGATACAAGTAAAACTGCATCAAAACTATATTTACTTGTTATTAAATTCATTTGAAATTCTTAAAACAATCTACAATCTATGATCAATTCTAATCATTATACAAGTAGTTGATATGTTTGTCAAAACTTCTTTTCTTTTCTTTCTTTTCTTTTCTTTTTTAAAGAAATGATGATATCATCAGTTCAACCTTATATCTAACTCAAGTTTTTGATAAAGAATCCCCTAGTGACAAACAAGTACAACAAATAAATAATAAAATAAATATAATAAATAATAATCCAATTGATTTATGCCAAGATAATCCTTTTATGTATACAATATATGAAATGAATCCGTTTAATTATAAAAACAATTATATCATTACTAATACTAATGATGATAGTGATAACAGTAATAACAGTACTACCACTACTACTACTACTAATAGTAGTATTCAAGATACATCAAGTACTTTAACAAAACACTACTCGACTAATATTCTCTTTAATAATGATAATAATAATAATATTCCAATCGATTTATCATTGTTACAACAGCATGATGTATGGTCTTCCCCAAATGATTCCATTAAATTCATCAATTCAAATAGTGATATAATAATGAAAAAAAATATTGAAATGGAATTTCAACAATATAAAGAACATAAAGAAGTATTATTAACAAACTATGAAAATAATAATTATACTAGTGAATCTAGTAATGATACAATGGAAATACAAATTATATCTAGCGATGAAGATGACGTTCATAATAATACTACTACTAATGATGATGATGATGATATTGATATGAAGGTGACAGGATCTATTCAAGGTAATGTTCACACTTTTTTTGTTATTACCGGTGAAAATTACTAAAATAGTTTGAGGTTAGACATTAACACTGTTGGATGTCGACTGGCTCAGTGGTCTATAGTAGATTGAGCGTTCACGAGCGAGACTGAAGGTCTTAGGTTTAAATTTCACGAGTGGGATCGTAGATGTGCACTACCAAAGTGGAGTAACAGGATAGGACGAAATGGCCGTCCAGTACTTTCAGGTTTTCCATGGTGGTCTAGCTTCAATTTACTCATGATCTCAACTATTGAAGTTACTACAATCTCCACAAAACCCCTTCTGATACTTATATATAATAACTTTTTTTTACATACAATGATTCATAATAGGAATGGAGAATTTTGTTCTCTGAGCTGGATGGTATGGTGGTGGAGCTTTCATAGTTCTCTTCCGAACGACATCATCAGCACAAACTTCAGGTAGAAGCAGTGGAGAATTAATTTGTCATCAACAAGTATTAAAAGAGTAACCAGAGTTTAATAACACATAGATAATTGACTTTGATGATTATAAGGTTGATAAAAATACAAAAGAATATATCAAAATAAGATAAAGAATAGTGATATGGAAGATAATTCTTCACTTAAAGAATACAGACAGGAAGATGAAGAGCGAAGAGGAAGTCCACCTAGGAAAGTTGGAAAACCCTGATTCCGAACCAATGGTGCACATGGACTCCATGATCCTGAAGGAACAAATGGCATATGAACCAATCGTTGGTCACCGGCTACCATGGGACAACATCTCTTTATGTTGCTCCAATGCATTATGGATTCGACCTTTAGGTCAAATGCTCGAGGTGTGACCCCCTAAGAAAACCACCTGCTTCAGTTTGGGTACCTGAGCAGTATCCCAGCCCCCACACAAATGGAGTGATTTATGTGGCGCATATCTATTTGATGCCTCCTTGTACCCATGTTTATGTTTCTAAATAAATAAATAGTAAATAAATGAAGAGCGAAAACCAATAGCGTGTTAAAAGTTAATTTAGAAAAATATGAGATGTTAAGATCATCATAAACTAAGAGACTGAACAAAACGCTTCTAAGCACATATAGATCAGGTCTGAACTGACAATATGTTTGGAAAGAGTATGATTCATAGACTCAATATAACAAACCCTACACGAGTACATTCTTTTTGTTAAAATATCTTCATCTTGTTATAATGATTCAATGGGGGGGGGACTTCGGTTATTTTAAAATCAACACACATAATAATAAGAATACCTACTGATTTTATAGATCATCCATCTGTCAATGGTATTGAAATTTCAGTCAGTCAGTCAGTAACAACGTAGAACTTCGTACGTACGTACATCAGTTCGAGTTGCCATACCACATTAGCACAGAGATGCAGATGTCGATTCAAATCCCGTAGTGGTAGAGATAGTAAAAGTATAAGCAGTAATCGGGAAGATTAGGGTTTGGAGATGTTATTTAAAGAGTATAATCCAGTGAAATAAATTTGGGAAGAGAAAAAAGAGACAAGGAGGATTCAGGAGATTAGAATTTGGGAGAACACAAAGAGTGGAGAAACTTGCGCCATTGCAAACGATTTTGAGCCATGTTATTCAGGGTCTCTAACCATCGGTTGCTATCATCTCGCGGTCCCCAACCAGATAGTTTACACCTACCAACATGGTTCAGTCCACTCTTCAGTGACTTATTCCTCACCATATATCTATTATTATTATTAAGTTATTTCCGATTCTTTTTTCTTTATAGGAATTAATGATTTATCATTGAAATCTAAAAATTATCATCATCATCATCATCGTCAGAAGCCTGAAAAATTGATTAGTCCAATTACATCACAACAATTACAACATTGTCTCAATAAAGGTAAATAATAAATATTATGATAAAATAATATATATATATATATGATTTGTACGAATATTCGTCAAGATTAGAACGAATAGTTTGACAGTAATTGAGTGCCGAGTATAGAGAAGTCATTATATGTGAAAATTATATTTGAAATATTCTCAGCGATTGAAATTTAACTAATTCCAACGTTTCGTCCAGCTAACTTGTCTGGACTTCACGTCAGGGTAATAATTAAAATCAAAATTATCAAAGGCATATATAGCTTTTTAACAATCAGGATTATACTGTGTTAAACCAATCATATTTGGATGTTGATTTTTTGTAAAATAGGATAAAATGAGTCAGTTGACTACAAATCATATGAAGAAATCAACTACATGGAAATACTTAACTGAGTAACAAATCGTATGTATGTGAGTGTGTGTAGGTATGTATATACGTGTGAGAGATTGATATGAGTTCATATAACACAATTTATTGATTGTAAACAATATAATCTATTTTTGTGTTACATCTATAAAGAAAAATAAGAGAATATGTCAAGGTCAAGTGATACTACTTAAATTAGTTACAAGCCAATATAATCGGATGTTTTGGTTACCTGCGAAACAAAAAATTCAGAAATAAATTTGATTGTAAATTCATGCGGACACTTATCATTATGGTGTGATATGATTTTAAACAAAACATTGGATAGCTCAGAATCAATTAGACGATTTGGACTTCGCAGATGACCTAGCTCTCCTATCGCATACACACGAACAAATGTAGATAAAGACAACTCGTGTAGCAGCAGTCTCTGCATTAGTAGGCCTCAACATACACAAAGGTAAAAGCAAGATCCTCAAATACAACGCGGAGAACATCAATCTAATCACACTTGATGGTGAAACTTTAGAAGATGCGGAATCTTTCATATACTTGGAAAGTATCATTGATGAAGAAGGATGATCGGATCCAGATGAAAAGGTGAGGATTGGCAAAGAAAGGGCCGCATTCCTACAATTGAACAATATACGGAAATCAAAACAACTGTAAACCACTATTACAGTCAGAATCTTCAATACGAACGTCAAGACAGTTCTACTGTAAGGAGATGAAACTTGGAGAACTACCACAACCATCACCAAGAATGTACAAGTATTTATAAATAGCTGTCTTCGCAAGATACTCAACATCCATTGGCTGGATACCATCAGCAACAGCCTTCTCTGGGAGAGAACAAACCAGCGACCAGTTGGAGAGCAAATTAGGAAGCGATGATGGAAGTGGATAGGACATAAATTGAAGAAATCAGCTAACTGCATCACGAGGCAAGTACTGACTTGGAATACCGAAGGGAAGCGGAAAAGAGGAAGGCCAAAGAGCACAGTACGTCAGGAAATGGAAGCTGATATGAAAAGGATGAATAACAACAGGAAGGAACTAGAAAGGATTGCTTAGGGCAGGGTTGGATGGAGAGTGCTAGTGGGCGGCCTATGCTCCACCACGATGAGTAACAGGCGTAAGTCAGTAAGATTTTAAATAAAGTCGGGGACTAGAAAAGAAAATCCTGGAAATGATGTGATAGTAGCATTACACCATATTGTTGGAAACAGGTGTCTACTTAACCTAGAAAAACTACAATAAATAACAGCAAAATTAACAAAGCTCAGTTAGATCTATATGTTTCGAAAAATACCTAATAAACTATTTAAATTATAGAGTTTGAAAGCTATGAGTTATGGTTCAGTGGACGAGAACATAAGTGGAGACAATCGAATGTATTAGAACATAAAATTACAGAATCTCTTAGTAAAATCTGAGAATCATATATTAAATACTTGATTTGCAAAATGTCAATCAGTTGTCTCGAACTTGACTGTTCCTTCGTTTCCATACCAATCGCTTTCTGTTCCTGTTCTTTCCTCCTCGATCTTCTTGGCCTTCTGTTGTCAGACATCCTATTCCTAACTAGCGTTATATACTATTTATGTCGATAGAAGTGGCACACACCACAAGGGTATCAGGTAAAACAAAGATTAACAATTATTTCTTTTTATACATAAATCAAGTTTCTGAAGCTTTCGAAAATAATCAAAAACTAGGTCTTAGTTGTTCATCAATCATTTGAAAAGATTTTATGTTACTCACCAAGTGTATCCAAGATATGTTCAGAAATTATATTATTCAACTTCTTTACTCCATTTGTAAAACAACTTCTTGTTTCTTCTCATTCTACAAATATAATTGCTTTGGAAAGTACAGATCAAGTTTTAGCTGCGATTTACAATATCATGTTAAGGGTACAATAGGCCTTTAGTTTGTTTATTGAATATTACTGGTCTCATGACATGTTAAGCTCTAATTACTGAAATGTCAAGTCGTCTGCCCAATGCTCACCTAACATCACCAACTCCTACAAATTGAAGCGGATAAACGTCGCTTCCTAATGACCCTCTCACACAAATTTAAACATAGATCAGTTAGTATTTCAGGCAACATCTATAACATTGAACTAGCATTCCATATAGATGACCTTGTTAATGAGTTTTAACCAGCACAAAATGTATGTTATTGCTTTCTCATCGATTATTTGAAATCATTCAACAGCAAACAAATTTCAATGTGACGCCACGTAACTGAACCTATTGAAGACCTTGACTAGACTATAATTAGTATTAAGGCTCAGGAAATGTGAAACTGATCACCAGTCAATTATCAATAAGTGTCAAGATTATTACATAATTATAAATCATGACAGTTCAACAAACTGCATTAAATGCTTTATTTACAAATCTTCCATCAATTTCCCTTTACATTCTGTATGATTTTTCTAATTCATAATTTCTTTCTATTTCCTTTTCTTTTTTCTTCAATTCGATCTTCATAGATTTCTGCTGCTATACGTTTCGCTTCTGATTAGTGTTATATACTACTTATGCTGAAAGACAAGTAGTATATGCCACAATAGTTGTGATACTTTCTATTTATCAGAAGGGGTTTGTGGAGATTTTTAGACATTTTCACAGATTGAAATTATGAGTCAGTTGAAGCTAGACCACCATTGAAAACCTGGAAGCACTGGACGGCCGTTTCGTCCTAGTATGGGACTCCTCAGCGGTGCGCATTGAGGTTAGATATTAACACCGTTGGATGCCGGCTCAGTGGTCTAATGGTTAGGTGCTCGCGCGCGAAGCCAGTAGGTCCAAGGTTCGGGCCCCGTGTGGTGCGGGATCGTGGGCGTGCACTGCTGAGGAGTCCCGTACTAGGACGAAGGGGCCGTCCAGTGCTTCCAGGTTTTCAATGGTGATCTAGCTTCAACGGGCTGATGATTTCAATCTGTGCAAACTTTCTATTTACACAGTACATAATTTTATCGATATAATAAGTTGATGAGAATCTGATATCTGTATTTATTAGAACCTTCTTTAAAAATTAGTTTAAAACTTCAAGTGTAAACAATACTTAGTATTTATCCAACCTATAGGGTTTGATATGACTGACTAGATAAGTAAAACAGTAAATTGAGAAACTTATTCTAGTCAAATTGTATATTCATTTTAGTATTGAATCAAACTGATTCAATCTGACAGTATTAAATTTAGAACTAACTGATTCATAGTAGACAAAATGATATTTTGATATGTAATGAATATATGGATGTATTTAAAAACAAGTTTAGCGTTATATATTCATTTACTTATCTGTTCAAGAAAGTCTCTTAAATATTCTTTATTTACCCGACCGTTGTTGCTACTTTGACGTGGTAGTCGGGCTCGCCCATCGTGATGAACCAATCGATGTATACTAGCTGGAACAATCGTTTGTTAATGTCCTACCATGCCAGATAGGTAGGTTGAAGAACAGTAAGACCAAAAGCATCAAGCCCAAGGTCCTAAGGCGAAGTCGTACTGCTGACTATACAGAGGTATGACGGTAGTAAGCTTTTTCCTTCAGAAAACCAGCATAACAGTGATGCTGCCTTCCCACAAGGAGTGGAGGAGTTAGAAAAGGCAGACCCTAAAAATACACACCTCACCTAATCCCACAGATTTCCTTCTCGGGCGATAAGGTCTCAACAAGTACGGAGCTAAGACGAAAAATAGCGTGTGTGACCGGCCTCAAGCAGTTGTTCCTTGGGCACTGTGTTCACGCTTTTAGGTCACCAATACCACGTCTAACCCAATTTTTTCAGGTACCTCTACAAGAACCCTTACACGGTGTGGGCAACCGGGAAGTGACAACCACCCTCATACCTCTAACAGCACTCAAGATCATTGATTCCTTATTTAAATACATTATGCATCATAATTCAGAAAGAGGAAACTTTTTAGGAATGTTTCTTTTTCGTTGATTACCGTTTTCTAGTGAAATTATATTTTACACTAAGCTAGAAAGTTTAATCATGTCGTTTTTTATTGTTTTGTTTGCTAAATTTCATCATTAACATAAATGTAAACAAAGAAGTGAGCAATCACAATTTCTCTATAAGTGACCGATAGTTTCTTGTGTTGACAGTGAATTTCCATGATCGTTGTCAATAATTGTGCCACCAATGTTTAAATGTTTGATCCAGTTACTTTCTTTTACTTCACTCTAACTTTTTACTTTGTCGTTATTTCTAAAATCAGAGAAGGCAACTTGATGAGACTAAAATTTATGGACAACCATTTGAGCGACGCTAGACTGACCTTAAGAGCGTCCAGCTAATAACTAGGACCAAATGAGAGTTATAAACCTATGTGAGGAATTCGAATTATGATACACAGTTGATTAGATTTAGGGTTTTCATCACGAACTGGCATAATGACAAAATTCTGCTTATCCAAATGGATGGGTGAATTTTGAACCAAAATCTGTGACCTATCTTCGTGCATAAATTATAGTTTCGCCATGCAACTTCAAAAAAACCATACTCCTGACTTACATTTTGAAAGTTTTGTGTCTTCTCCAGCACAAAAATAAAACACAACACACCCAACTTCTCTATGATAAACTACAATTATTGTCATTTTGGGATTTCATATATTTCTAACACCCCGAGCAACCATTTCTAATATCTCATCATTAGTATTGTCTAATCATTCATAAACATTTAATCGTTTATCGTTTATCCCATTATACATTATATTTCCCTAGAAATTTGATTCACGAAAACTCTACAATCAAACTAAATCGTGTTTATCATCAAAAGTGGTTTTGTGGAGATTTTAGAAATTTCACTGGTTGAAATCATGAGTCAATTGAAGCTTGACCAACATGGAAAACCTGAAAGCATTAAACAGCCGTTTCGTCCTTGTATGGGACTCCTCAGCAGTGCACATCCACGACCTCGCCCCCTGCGAGATTCGAACCCAGGACCTACTGGTCCCGCGCGCGAGCACTTAACCACTAGATCACTGAGCCGGCATCCAACGGTGTTAACGTCTAACTTCAACCAATCCACGAAGTTGCGCCACCATACACCATTGTCTTCAATGAGTTGATATCTCAACCGACCTGGTTCCATACTAGGACGAAACGGCCTTCCAGGTTTTCCATAGTGGTCTAACTTCAATTGACTCATGATTTCAACCAGTAAATCGTGTTTATATTATTCAATGAAATTGATTTTTTATCTTTATTAGTATTTTAGTAGTAAATAATTTTTTTTAAAATATAAATTATTTTCATTCCATTTTTTAGCTCTTCTTAGAGCATCACATAATGGTTTAATTAATTATATTGAATTATTGTTAAATACTGGTGCAAGTATACATGCATTAGATAAATATGGAAGATCATGTTTACATTTAGCAGCAAAATTTGGACATGTAAAAGTTATTGAATATCTTTTAAAGTACAGTGAGTTTCATACAAATAATTAATCTCTCTCTCTCTTCATATATTCTTTTTGTTTCGTTAAAAATTCAGATAAGAATAACAGTATTAGTAAGAGTTTAATTTATACTTGGAGGACAAGTTAACTGATATTTGTACTTGGTGGTCGATCAATTGTTATACTTGAAGTAAAAGATATTAGGTTTAAAACCTCATATGAACATAAATATTGAAATGATGGTATATCTGAATGACAAATGCTAAATTAGACAAAACTTACATCCTAGACATTTGATACTAACTAAATTCCATTTATTATAAAGTTAATAATATTTGAAAAGTATTGATCACTGTAAGTGCTAGAATTGGCTTCGATTGTGTTGTCATGTAACTTTCATCGTTAACTCAAGCTAATTAGGAAAGTCAATGAAACCGTGTAACATAGAATGACTGTCTCGACCCAACACTAGGACTTTTTAGCGGTGTATTCGTCCAATATATATTTGCTTATGATACTTGTGAATGAAGGCAATATGCACAGTATGCACATATACCGATGAGAGACTGATCAATTGCAGTCTTAATCATCAATGGGAAGACCCAAGTAAACAATACCAAGTGAATTGAACTCAGAATGTTTATTTTTTTATTTAAGCACAACAATTTTGCGACATCCTAGTAAGAATACAATAGCTTGATTTCTAAACTTTTGTGCTTCATAAAAGTCGACTGTACACATAGATCTTCTAATTTCTAGTTTCATTGGTTATCTAGCTGACTTCAGTGGATCGTGTAAATTCAACTTTCAAAACTAAAATAATTATCAAAACTCCTTTCACTCAAACAATTATATCCAATTATGTATCTTACCGACTGACCTGAGTTCTAAACTTCTAAAAACTCTGTGATTTCCTTATCATTCTCTCTATCCAATATTTCGACATTTCTTCAGTCGAATGTGTTCATAATCATCCACGTGCATTGATATGAACGATGTCAAATTATGGCGTTTGACAGCTAGTTGTTCATTCAAATGAAGATGGTGGCGACAACTATTTTATCCAACATTGTTAATTTACTTTTATATTCTGTAATGTGGAGGCCATTATTTGTCACCATTTATTAAGATACATCTCTATATTTGGGACTGATGACCAAACCAAACACTTCTAACTGAAGAAGGGGAGTCCGTTCTCCCTCTCGAAATGCTCTCACATGACCACGCGTATACAGCCACTGTCAGGAAAGTCCTACTCACTGCCTTCTCGTTGGAGTGTTCACGAGATTGAGAGGACTAAAAGCGAATATCCCGGTGCCTTAACCGGGTTGGTGAATAGGGACGATCCATCTAAGGAAGTTCGAAAACCCTCATTTCAAACCAATCGTGTACATGGGCTCCATGATCCTGAAGGAACAAATGAAATATGAACTAGTCGTTGGTTACCGGCTACCACGGGACTGCATCTCCTTACGATGCTCCACTGCCTTGTGGGTTAGACCTTTAGGTCGAAGGCTCGGGGTGCGGCCCCCTAAGATTTGTGTAGCACATATGTATCTGGTGGCCCCTTGTAACAATATGTGTCCAAATAATAATATTGTTCAGAAGTAAAATGAAAGCTCCACGACTAAGCTATCCAGCTCGAAAAACGAGACTCCATCATGTAAAGCTCTAATCAATAAATAAATCTCTGGTTCCCATTTATAATTCACTGATCCAAGTAATATTTCATTAAAAAGTTTACAATTCACTTAGATTTACACTTATAGATGATTAGATATTAACAGACTAATTGCAAATTTCATTTCAGTTCCAGAAAAACTAATCGACTTACAAGAATATGAAAAGTAAGTACCGACCTTCTTAATTGTTTAATATTTATATATTCTAACTTAAATAAACTCATTAACCAGGTATTTGAGTATACCGAAAAGGGAAACGTGCGGACCAGGCTTCAAAGCAAGGACTTAGTGGCCGAATATAGAATGCCTTGACGAAATCTAGCAACAATAACCATAGACAAGGGAGTATACATACTCCAAGAATAACATATTAACCATTCATCTAGCATGTAGACACGAATGTCCGGACAAATATCTAATCATTTACTTCTTGTACATGAATTGTATTCGAACTATCCAAGCTTTATTATATGATTATGAAGTTCATAAATAGCAAACATTCATATCTTATTCAAAATCAAATAATACCGAAGATAAGTCTCAATAGCATGGTGCTCAGTCTAAAATACTTGAGGTAATTAACAGTTGAAATAATGGGATAGGAAAATCACGCTAACCGGGAGAACAAAGATAGACACAAATGGTACAGGATAGCCTCTAGAAAATATACAGTTAGTTAATAAATATCTAGCACTGACCAAAGTAAAAATAGCACAGAAATAGCATCGACTAAGCAATTTGTTTAACATATCAGCCAGAAAGTCTGTACGTTTGACAAAGTATTTGAAAAATACAATTTAAAACGACAGTTTAGGGAAACTGGTTCACTTTCAAAATTGTGAGGTACATCATACTCTGAAGCAGATTACTGTAAAAATAAGACGCAACCTTTAATCAAGCATGTATGCTAATTCCATATAAAATATTTCAAATGTTCGTTTTGTCTTTCTCTCAGGAACCAAACAGCACTACATAAAGCCGCGGCAAGTCGAAGGAGGGTCATCTGTAAAATTCTAATCACAGCTGGAGCCTGCCCAATAATTACTGATATTTATGGGCAACAACCAAGTAATTTGGCACTAAAAGCAAATGACCCACAACTTGCTACTTACCTAAAAAGTAAGTCGATTACAACTATAAAAACATCGATAGCAAAATATGAATCTCCTGTCAATAATAGAGCACTTGTCATTTCTTTTCTAGGAGAAGAAATATTGTTCATTATTAAAAATGGAGTTGAGAAAGTAGATGTGTAAAGTGGACGAATGAAGTAACTTTGCAACGCATTCCAAACAACCAACTAACATTTCCCATCTTTAGAATAGAACTCTTGCACAATTTAGTATAAACTATTATTTATTTCTGTCTAATAGTATCTCCATAGAATCTCTTAACCGAGAAACTTTTGTATTCCATTATAATTACGAATATATTATCAATAGAAATATTGTGCTTTTAATCTGAATAAAATTTACAATATTCGCATCCGATTTAGCAAGGAACCATTACAACTATGATTTAAACAACTGAATAAATGACAATAATAGATGCCTAAATACAATGAAAAACATAACTGAGCTTTTACAGAAAAAATATATAAATAAGGGCTGTCATTTCATCCTTCTCTTAGAGAGCAGTCTCATAACTTCTCTTTGTCCACCAAGCCTAATTGTAAAACCCTAATATTGAGCTGGACAACCTTTAGTCCTATTAAATAAATAATCCACGTTTTTTTATTGGTGTCAGTCACGAAATCCAATTAGTAAAAGGAGGGGAGCGACCCACAGCAAAGGATTTTATAGAAAATATGAACGTCAAAGTGCTTAAAAAAGTATATTGAAACAAGTAAATGCTTTTACAAAACTTCTCCGCGATAATAAGTGGTTATCTGGGATAGATACCATGAGTCAGATTGCGTCTCAATGATATCCAGGAGGAGGTGGAGGTGGAGGAGGAGGATATCCTCGTACAGCGGTGACAGTTGGCATTCCACGACCGAACGCCGCAGTTGGTGCGCCTGCAGGGGGAGGAGGTGGAGGCGGCATGCCAGGAAGCGCTCGTGGCTGCATCAGACCAGGTGCTGGTGCTCCGACTCCCCAAACTGGCCCACCTAAACCAGCGGGTGGAGCTGGGGCAATAGCTGCTGCTGGGGTCGCAAGGGGCATGCCGCGCCCGACAGCAATACCAGTCAATGGCTTAACTCCAGTTGACCAAGCACCTGCTGTAGGGAGCGGAACTCGGGCGGCATCTTCAGGAGGTGGGGGACCATCTACATTCATAGTAACCTAAACAAATAATTTAAAGATAAATTTAGGGGAGCTCAACAAGTATAAAAGCACTGTGAATAATATAAAACCCTATTTTGGGAGATTCGAGCTTATGAATGGTAGATTAGTAGTAATTAAATAGATTAAGTGACAACTAAGCATCAGTACTAGAAAAGCAATAATTTACAAATAGATCATTACCAGAAAAACCAATACTTAACCGTCAACACATGGTTTGTTAATTTATTACTCAGTTGAATGAATAAATATCGGAGATAACGGATTAGATAATTATAAGAAACGTGTTATAAACATGATTATTTTACATATCCAAATAAAAGTTCCAAAATGAAAACTATCCAAACTAGCAAAGCTTTTAGCCTAGAAAAGGTTAGAAAATTGAAGATAATAATTTGTGACGCTAGCAAACGTAATGATAGACTTCTAAAGATAGCTCATCTGAAGTAGATTACAGTCAGATCTGCCGTCCATCGTTCTACCAGGTAGGATTGAGATATTCGGGGTTTAAGTCCTCTAAGCCTCTTTTCAGTTTAATTAGTCACCTAAGGCGGTACACTGCACACTCAAAGAAACCTGTAGAGTTCAAAATCACAAAACATGTAGTGATAAGTATCGACAGCCATTTGTTTCCAGCAGCTACTAACTTAGAACGTTAAAGTCTGATCAGAACAATTGATAGCTATCACAAGATAAATCACTAGTATCCAGTTGAAAAGGACAAATAACCCAACCCTTTTTAAGTACATACTTAGATGTCATACTTAAAAAGTTTAATAATACTCCTGACCAGTCAGTTACAACGTAGGACCAGGCACATATGTGCATCGGTCCAGGTTGCCATACCGCATTAGCATAGCAAGATGAACACCGGATTCATAAGAGTGGTTAGGTCAATGGTAGTCATATATAGAGGAAAGACTGCATATAAGGATGTAGTATAGGAAGAAAGAATTAGTTAGTAGAAAGAAAGATATGAAGCAATTCTAATCTCTTAGTTTAAGGGAAGACAGGGAGTGTATGCACCGACGCCATTGTGATCGATTCTGAGCCATGTCACCAAGAGTCTCCAACCATCGGTTATGAAAGTCACGCGGACCCCAACCAAGTAGTCTGCATCTACCAACATGGCTCAGACTAGAAGTTAGTGACTTTAGGCACTGATGCCACGTTTTGGTTTGGCCGCCCCTAACTTTCTTCCAACCATCCCCTACACCGGTTAGCATTGCACGTCGTGGTAATCGGTGTTCAGGCATACGTAGTACGTGGCCCAACCATCTCAGTCGATGAAGATTCATAACCTCATCAACTGATTAACCATCATTCCCTAATACCCTACGTCTAACCTCACTATTACTTACCCGCTGATCCCACCAGACGCCAGCAATATTTCTAAGGCATCTGTGGTCAAATACTAGTAGCTTACGAGTGTCTTCTACTCTTAATGGCTATGTTTCGCTGCCGTGAATTAAAACAGAACGGACTACCGCGCAGTGCACTCGTCCCTTTATAGATAGACGGATATCTTGCCTTCGCCACAGGTGACGTAAGTTGGCAAAAGCCAAGCGAGCTTTTCGAATCCGTGCTGAGATTTCGTCAGACCCCAACCCATTAGGGCTGATTAGACTTCCAAGTTAAGTGAAGTTGTCAACGTGTTCGACTACTTCACTCCCTATCCTTAGTTCAGGTGTTGACACAGACCAGTCCTGAAGCAACAACTTGCATTTAGAGGGAGAGAAGCGCATTCCAAACATTCTGGCATTGTTGCTTAGTGCTACCAAAAAACTGCATTTTGTCAGCGTCTTCACCAAACAGGACTATGTCATCTGCGTATTTTAAGTCGATAAGTAGACCTCCTGGAAGGAGGTCAATACCCGAGAATTCAGTCGATGAGAATGTTATTTCCATCAGTAGGTCTATGATGAAGTTAAACAAAAATGGAGAAAGTGGACAGCATTGACGGACACCACTTGAGGTTGCAAAAGTAGATGACAGTTCGCCATAAGCTCTGACTCGACTAGTAGTGTTCGAGTAAAGAGCCTTCACAAGGTTTATGTACTTCTGAGGTACGCCTTTCAATGACAGACACTGCCACAGAATATCGCAATGTACAGAGTCAAATGCTGCTTTCAAGTCAAGAAAGACCACCATTGTCGGACGCCGATAAGTATGGCTGTGTTCTAGAACCTGACGAATGGTGAATATGTGGCCGATGAAGCCACGACCAGGTTTGAAGTCAGCTTGGTTCTCTCGTGTTTGCAGTTCACGAGTCTTAGTTAGGCGTCTGATAATTATCGAGGCTAGTATTTTAGATACTATATTAGTTAAACTAATCCCTCTATGGTTGTCACAGGTTGATTTTAACCCTCTCTTATATATTGGGACGATAAGTGATCGTGACCAGTCAGATGGAATAACGTCTAACTCCCAGATCTTAGCTAAAATATTAGTCAACCTAATCGCTAAAATTGGACCACCATCCTTAAAGACTTCTGGAACCAATCTATCTGGACCAGCTGCCCTTCCTTGTTTCAGATTAACTATGGCCTTTTGAACTTCAGCTAGAGTTGGGGGACCTACTTCAATGTTCCATTCATAGTCTGGGAATGGAGGGTAGTTGTAGAGTAGCTGAAGGCCAGTTGAACTGTTTTCTAAAATGTTCCGCCCATCGTTCTAAACGTCTGGACTGGGATTGGATGTATCTTTTTCCGAAATAGTCTCACTTACACTCGACTTATTAATTCGTTTCTTTTATTAGTCTGTAAAGAGTTTAATAATACTCCTAATGAACGAAAAACTGTGGACTTTATTTTCGCTACTCCCTCTACAAAATTGACATGACTCCATTAGGATGAAGAGAAACTACTTTTTATGTAGGCGATATCCACCTCTATTTGCTCGACTACTCAAACTGAATTCGAACAGGGTATAGAGCTAAGCTGTTTGGAAGTGGAGTACCAAACGTTAAGATGTTCACGGTATCTTTTAGCAGCTTCAATTGATGTGCATTCACAGTCATCATCCAGTAATGAATGCATCAAGTTATTACCAACTAGGTAGTTTTATTAGTGGTGAGAAAGCTTCGAGGATACTAGTAATCAGGTCTCTCAGTCAGTCAGTCAGCTACAAAGTAGGACCAGGCACATATATTCATCGGTCCAATTTGCCACACCTCACTACCACAACAAAATCAACACCGAATTTACAAATTAGTTAATTCAATGGTGGTGATATATAAAGGAAAGATTGCATATAAGGATATAGAACAGGAAGAAAGAATTAGCGCTTAAAAAGAAAGATATAAAACCTTTTTAATCTCATAGTTTAAGGGAACACAGAGAGTGTATACACCTACGAAATTGTGACCGGTTCTGGGCCATGTCACCCAGTCTCCAACAATTGGTTACGAAAGTCACGCGGACTCCAACCAATTAGTCTGCATTGGTGAGAGTGTAATTTATGGACGACCGATGAGCGACGTTTAAGTGACCTTGAGTGTCCACGTAATAACTACGATCAAATGAGGGTTATAAACCTCTGTGAGGAATTCGAATTATGATTTACAGTTGATGGTTAAGGTTAGAAACTAGGTATTCATCACTAACTGACATCAGCTATAATGCTAGCTGACTGACTGACGATAATGCCAAAACTCTATTTATCCAAATGGATGGATGAATTTGTTACCTTATACATGATTGGTTCGTCCATAAATTATATTCTCGCCGTCCGCATCTACCAACATAGCTAAGACTAGAAGTTGGTGAATTTAAGGACTGATGCTACGTTAAATCTGGTGAAATATAGCATTGTTGTGAAACACACACCTCTACATAAACTTATACTTCCCAGGCGTCGTATGAAATTAACAGTTTATATATACTTGAGAACGAGTAATCCAACGTAAAATGAGTGAAAATAGATTTACGACAAATTGGACTGTAGATGAGAAACAAGACATCATTGTTAAC